CTGCAGAATAGATGAAAACCATTTCGATTTAGAAAAATATAGCTCATTTTATTGCAAACAGGACGTAAGGATTTTAAGAGAAGGTTTTGTTAAGTTCAGAAATGATATATTGAAAGAGTTTGATTTAAACGTTTATGATTACGTTAGCATTTGTTCAATCGCTAACAAACTTTTCGAAAACAGAGTATATTTCCCGAATGGAAATTTATATGACCTTTCAAATAAACCAAGAGAATTTATTTCACGCTGTATTCAAGGTGGAAGATGTATGCTGTCAGATAACATGAAACAAAAGAGCGAAAAGAAACTCATTGCTGACTTCGATGCTGTTTCATTATATCCTCGCTATCGCGAGACTTTATACTTTAGAAGGAATTCCAAAGGTTATGAAGAAAGAAATGTTAAACAGTGAATATTTGTTAAAACATTTATTCGATGATGACCAGGGCGAGCCTGAAGGTGAGAAATTCATTTCCGGATTCTTTGTTTTAATAAAAATAACCGAGATTAAGATTAAAAGGCACTTTCCATTAATAACAGTAGATCCAGAATTAAACCCGGAGCTAAAGGTTCCAAGAAGTTCTAACACATGCTGTTTAATGTATGTGGACCACATAGCTTTGCAGGATTTAATAAAATATCAGGGCATCAGCTGCGAAGTATTACAGGGTTACTACTACGATGAAAAAAGAGATTTTAGAATAAGAGATGAAGTAAAGAAATTGTTTGAATTGAGATTAAAGTATAAGAAGGAAGAAAATCCGCTACAAGAAAATATTAAATTAATTTTGAACAGTATTTATGGAAAAACTATTTTGTCCCCGATAGAGTCGAAAATTAAAATCATTGATGATAAAGATGCTGTTAGGTATGCCATCAGAAATTATAACCATATCATTAAATTTGAAGGTTTAGATGGTTCGGATAAAACTATTTTCAAACTAACTAAAAGCATTTGCAGACACTTTAACTTTTGCCCCTTAGGTGTTAATATCTTATCTATGTCGAAACGTATCATGAATGAAGTATTTTGCACGATTGAAGACTTAGGATTAAAAGCATTTTATCAGGATACAGATCGATGCATTTTCAATGAAGACATACCACTCGCTGCAGAGTTTAAGAAGAGATATGGTCGCGAATTATAGGAAAGAATTTAGGTCAGTTCATTCGATTTTGCAGAAATCACAAAAGATAAACAAAGTTTAGCTTACAAGTCGATATTTTGTGGAAAGAAGACTTACATTGATTTACTCACTAATGATTAAATGAAGTTGCATTTCATGCAGAATGAAAGGCGTAAAACAAGATGTAGCTTTAACAGCAAATGAAATGTTTCCTGAAGCAGTTCAATGCGTTTATGATGAAGAAAGATTAATGATTCCTCAGGGAAAATATGATAAAGATAGTGAGTTCAGTTATGAAATTATATGAAGCCCTTCATAGTAGTCAGGAAATCGCATTTGATTTATGCAAATCACGCTCCTGTTTTGAAGAGAAGTTTAACTTTTCAATAACGACTAAAAACACTTTCATAAGAAAGTTAAAGTTCTGAAGTTATGAATGAAGTCATAAATGAAGTCATGAATGAAGTCATTATTTTTATCGTTCAAGACAAAAATAAACTTTTCATATTAAATTATGTAAGCGTTTGAATTTACTATACGTAATGCATGTTCTTTTTCCATTAACATCATAAACATTAACATATAATGAACCATTTATGTTTTCATTAATGTATAGTTCTTTATACTGACGACCGTTATAATAATAAAACAAATCTGCATCGATGTCGTAAAATAAATCCTCAAATTCATGATTTCCATAATGTGAAACAGTAATTGAATTTTCACTGATTTCATCAACGAAATTATATTCTACTCCATTTGCTTTACTTCTATTTCTATTATTTGTAGAACTTGAACACCAATGTAGATTATCAACCATATTATTATTTCTAACTTTATCGTAATGGTCGACTTCATTGAGATTCTTAGGATTATCAATCCACTGAATAGCTATTAATCTATGTTTAAGATATTTTTTACCGTTAAGGGTTAATCTTATATATCCATTCTTTTCTTCATACTCACTGACAGTCTTTCCGTTTTTCTTTCTTCTTATTTGATACGGATATTCTGTGTTAATTTCGTAATCTTCATCAGCTACTAACGTTTCCCAGTTATTATTTTCCATCGTTTTATAAAAATAAAAAAATATTTTTTTATTTTTTGTAAATGTCAAAAATTTTAACGTGTCAAACGGTTTTTTGCAGATTCTAATAATTTGGGGTCCGAGGGGCGTAGACCCTTGGTACACAATTACTAGATACTAACTTGTGTGAAAGCGCATGTTCATACGCCACTTTAGTACCTGTAAAATTCGGGAATGTCTCTAATGGCATTGGCTTGAGCTGAGATGTTGCGCACATGATTGAACTCGTAAGATATGATCTTTTACCGAGCTTTCCGGCATCGATCGCAACACCCACTGATTCTTCCTTTTTAAACTCCTTTAACCAAAGATCTTTGTGCATTTTGGCCACACAAATAAAACGTTCTTGGAAGGAAGTACGTCTTGGGAGGTGACTGTCCAAAACCGCGCTCATATTACTAGTTCCTATATGTTTACGTCCAAGGTGCATTGCCATAATTAGAACATTACGGAACAATTGATCATCCACCAAATCCATTGGTAAACTCCTTGAGGCAAAGAGGTACATAATTGCCAGTTCCATTGTATTTAAATCTTTTATACTTTTATCACAATCTTTTAAATCTTCAAAATATGCTTTGACATCCGGATCAATCTGGGGATTTTGACCTTGATGGCCTTGATTTTGTTGTGTTTGATCTTGATGGTCATCTTGATTCTGGTTTTGGACATCTGTACGCCTTGTTACATCGTAAAGTGTAGGTTGGCCAAAATAGTGCTGATGTTTGAGTGGATATGCTTCAGGATCTACTGTAGGCACTTTCTGAAGATGATATTTTGCGATATAGAAATCGCACTGGATGTCATTTTTAAAATGATTACACTGTAAATATGCATGATTTGATTCATCGTAACAGTTAACAAAACCTTCAGGTGGTGGCTCTCGAGAGTCCGCCAAGGTAAGTTTCTTATATTTCTTATGGAGATATTTCCCAAGTGGTCTTTTTGTCATTAATCAAAGTAAATGAACGACCAAGGTGTTCAAAAAGTGGCCGAAAAGAGAGGAGAGAAAGAAAAGTAAAAAAGGAGTAAAAGAAATGACGATATCTCCACGTCTGATCGGTATTTTTCGATTCTGACTGCAGAAATCGATTTTTTAGGGGATGTAGATATTATGTATCACGAAAAATAGCTCTATTGTAAAGAAACGCGCCAATTTCGATGCGAATAAAGTATATCTAACAAAACAATGTAAATTTGCTTTGATTGATATATTATATAAAAATAAAATAGATTTGAGCATTTGATGTGTTATGCCCTACGTTGTATGTATAAAATAAGTACTTTATTTACTAGTTATATGTTCTGAATATAAGATATTAAAAATTACATTTATAAAAGCTTACCATATTTTTCTTTAATTATTGTTTTTCATAATAGGTAATGTTCTTATTTACGTTATAAAGTATGATATTTACAAATATTAAGTATTAATGTTTTTTGAGAAATTATTAGATACAAGCAATAATGATAAAGATAGAAATGGTGATGAATTGCGATGTAATTATAGAAAACGTAAGATATATGAATTCAAAACAATCAAAATTTAGGTTGCTAACCATATATTGCGAAAAGGTGTTGTATATTGAGCTAAAATTATGATTATATTATAAAACTGCCACTTAAAGCATAACGATACTATTCCTTTTTCATTTTAATCTAATATGATATTAATTACTTTCGATTTAGCTATAAAATGATGATATGTTTTCAAAAATCATATTTTCAATCTGTATAATGCATAATTCACCAAATGTCTCATTTTTGATATTGCGAGATATTTTTGCTAGGCAAACCCAAATTTTAGCTAAAAGTGACAGGGGAAAAAAACGTTTAGTATTAAAAAAAAAGACCGATGAGAGCTTCGTTCGAAATATAGAGGGAACTGAGAATGCGCAACCATTCTCAGGGAATATTGGATGCTATTCCCGTTCCCTCTGTATGGAAAATTGAGGTTTTCAAAGGGAGTTAAAATAATATCAAATTTATACTAATTTACTTCAAAATACAAAAGTATTTGACAGCTAAAATTAGTTACTTTAGCAAGCCTATCAATACCCTTTTACGATTATTGTTACTTTTTCGAAATAAAAGTAAAAACAAATTTATACTAATTTACTTCAAAATACAAAAGTATTTGACAGCTAAAATTAGTTACTTTAGCAAGCCTATCAATACCCTTTTACGATTATTGTTACTTTTTCGAAATAAAAGTAAAAACAAATTTATACTAATTTACTTCAAAATACAAAAGTATTTGACAGCTAAAATTAGTTACTTTAGCAAGCCTATCAATACCCTTTTACGATTATTGTTACTTTTTCGAAATAAAATAAATTTATTATCAAAAACCTTTTTTTCTTAGTAAAAATAAACGAAATTTTTTACCTTATGAACTTTTGATGGAAATATGCAAATTTAAAATAATAAAGAAAGCCGCGAGCGAAGCGATCGGCTTAGTTCGAAGATTTTGATTCAAATCTTTGCTTATATTCCTTAAATTCTTTATGAAACTCGCAACAGTTCCATAAAAAATTTTAAATTCTAAACTGTCGAAATTACCGATCGGTAATCACACCCTTCATGGGTGTGTCACTTTTTACAGGTGTGTCACTTTTAGCTAAAATTACCCCTACTCGTCGAAATTGCTAGCTAAATGTTTTTTTGGCGAAATTGCGTATTGTACGTTTTTTTCGCAAAACGAAACCCTTAAATGTATAAAAAATTCAAAAGATGAATTGTATCCACATTTTTTTTTTCAAAGTATTGCTGATTGACAATCAAGAATGAGACGTCGATCATCAAACGATATATTTTTATTTAACGAGGAAGAGTTTAATAATCTCGATCGCCTGGAATTGAAAATCAGCAAGCTTGAAGATACAATTGTTGAATTTAATAGTAAATTTAAATCAGATACGCCGATAATTACATCAAAAGGGAATATTTCAGCTGCAACAACATTTTGGAATACTCTAGTCAATAACTTTACATATATAATTCATGATAAACTTGAAGATTTGCTTATAACCTTCGAAATATTCTTCCAGAATCCATCGACATTACCAGTAGATGAGAAAATACTTTCGGTTATTGAATTTCTTTTTGGTCAAATCAAAACAGAATCCAAATTCCAAGAAATTATTGCAGAAAGTATCAAACTTATCTTCAAAATTCCATGGGTCTGCAACTTATTTTTAGAAAGAGAGTTATTTTCTGGCCTTTTCGTGCAATTTATCAATGAAGAAAAATACGAGAAACTTTGTTTAATCCTTCAAAACCTCAACAGCAGCGAATTTACGGCAGCATTGACCAAATTTATACCAGAAATAGTTATATTACCGACATTTCGATTCATTGTCTGCACGAAAAAAGAATTTCAAGATAAAATACCCACGAATGTGTTTGTTTTACTTATTACTCACTTAATCAGCTGGATATGCAAAGCTTTTACCCCACAAGTTATTGTCGATTTACTTGCAGATGGAGTAATTTACGATATCAACACAATTTTATCGACATGTAGTGCCAAATCTGTTTTGGGAGTTTATTCTTCCCTTGTTGAGTGGGATGCTGAATATCCAATTCATCCAATTGCCTTAAAAGTATTTCATCAGATTTATGTTCTTCCTACAACCTCAAATCAGCTTCGGATTTCAATTTTAGAATTCATTAGCAGCAAATCTTCAATATACAACCAGAACTTTGCACTCCAGGCCAATACTTCCGGTTGGTTTTTACCAGAAGTATGCAAAATCTCAAATTTGTTCACTCCTTTCTGCGAAATGATCAGAGGGATCGCCAGAGTGGACACAAAATTCATTATTCCTGTCTTTCTGCTACTCGTTGATAAGATTGTTCCGCCTCATAAAGGAGGAATTTTAATTGACTCGATTATTTCATTTTTATTGGAGCTTCTGACTGATTTCAGCATGCCAGAAGTATTGTTTAATAATGATTTGTGCTTGGAGAAGCTAATGCTTGAACCTTCTTTGAGTGATTTCGCAAATTTTCTGACTGACAAAAAAGTTCAAGTTTTTCTATCAAAAATGTTTGCAGGAAGGACTTCTGAATCTCAGCCAGTTCACATCCTCCAGCGACTGACCGATTCCGGAAAATTTATGAACCAGGAAAAACTTACTGAGTTCGTTGTGACAATCCTTACAGATAATTTTAATCCGGGAATACTGTACTACTTGATTGTATCACTGGATGACGACTACGTTGAAGATATAATTTATCTCATTTTAACTCCATGGAGATCAGACATTGTGACCTTGTTCAATGAGGGTGACTGCTTCTCTATTGTCGAGAGGAAGATTGGAGTCAACATAAAATGGACTAAGGCTTTCTTAAAATTCGTAAATACAATTGTTACCCACGAAAGCGACCATTTCTTCGATGACTGGGTCATCCAGCAGCCAAGTTCATCCCTTGTTTTCACTCTACAGAATGACGATATCTCTGAATACGTCGTTCCATCAAGTTCCATACACCCGATACCAATTCCATCACTTGTTCCACTGTGCAATCCATTTATTACTGACTCTTATTACAATTTGTATATGTTGGGAGCTTATGCGATGCCAGTTTACAGGAAATTTAATTTCAAATATGATAAAATTAGCAATATCAAAGAAATTGCATGCAGATTCATATATCCTGAAGACTTCATGATCTTAGTAGATACAAATCCTGCTTTGGCTGCGACTTTATTAAAAATACCAAACGAGCCTTTTTCTTTATTTGAGTTCTATCCCAATATTGGCCCAGGTTGGCTCGAGCCACTCAAGCCTATCTCATGTCCAGCCATTTGTTTCAGAATTAGATTCAATAATAACTCAATACAGAAAGTTCCTTTTGTTACATTCAACAACCAATCTCTCGCAATAGAAGACAACCTTATTTTCAGTCCAAATAACGACAAATCATTCAAAATTGACCTAAAAACATGGTATCAAATTTTGATTTACAGTGAAAAGTCGTCATCCAGCATTAAAGTCTATATCAATACGCTAGAATTCTGCCAAGTACCAGCATCGAGCGACAATCTCGTTACACTTAAAGAGATTGGCAACAGTGAAATTCCTGGAACGGCTTTTTTTGTCCAAAACAACGTCAACATCCTTTCAGACTTGGACTCCATCCAGAACTACACCTTACCTAAGACTCCAAATGTCGAATTAGTCCCTAAAAAGTCATGTGCTCTCTCACTATTCCACTCGACCATCCACATCTTCAAAGACCACAACAACATCATCGAGATCTTCAACAGGTTCACTCGGAGCAAGTCAAACAAGACTGACTACTTGAGAATCGTCTCTCAGATACCGAACATCTGCGAAATCAACGACTACACATTCTTCTCGAACTTCCTATCAGTTCTCAAGCAGAACAAGGAGTACTGCGAGACTGGGTGGTTCACTGAGTTCGCATTCTCCATGTACTGGGTCATAGATTTGAAACAGAGAACACGAATTTTCAACTCAATTCTTTCTGATTTTGAGTTGTGGTCTAGTTTTGACGAATCCTATCTCATTGAGTATTTGCAGAGTGTCTACAAGTACATCACGACGTACAACGACAAGATAGACATCGGCTATTTGATTGACAACCATTGTCTGGAGACACTTTATTATTTGATATTTTGCGTCAAAAAGAAAAATTTGGCAGAATGTTTCATCAGACTGTTTCTCTTCATCTTCCAATTCGCAAATATGGCCATTATCAAGAGGATGTCAAAGATAATTATGTCATCAAAGATGTGGCTGAATTTGAAGGATCTGAAAATAAATTTGAACGAAATCAGAGATTTCATTTTGGAATTCGATTTCGATTCTCAGATTTTCTCTGTTTTCATCCAGGCTTTGGTTGTATTCCAGGCAAAGAAGAACTTGGAGGTGTTCACTGATGAAGACTTGCTGTTCTTAATACTGATAACTAACAACACTTGCGCAGAAGCAATTTTGGAATACCTCATCTCAAAAAATTCTGAAATTGATTTGACAAATTTGTCTGTTTTCACTTTGGGAATCAAGAAATTCCCGTCAAATGTTAAACTGTGGAGCTTCCTTTACACAAGACTGTTTGATTGTAGCTTTGACATATATAACTACACGAAAACTCCGCCAATCAAAAAGAATTTCTTCATTTACCCAATTTTCACTTTGATGATGGCGGTTTTTCATGAAAAAGTGACGGAGGATTTGACAAAGAAACTTAGTGATGTATTTAATGACACATTCATAAGCCAGCTGACCAATTTGACGACAATTAATCTTGATGTCTTCATCTATCTTCTTAGATTTTGCCGCAGAAATCTCCCCACAGTGAATTTGATTGAATTGGAGGTTTACAACTCGAATTACATCTCCAAGAGCGATTTCCCGCAATTGAAGGAAATTTACCAAAACAATTTTGCTGAGTTCCTCACAAAATTCTTGAACTTGACAAGGTTGGACGGTTACGACGGTGTCCCAGAATCTTTTTGTAATTTTATGTCACTTTTCTTGGCAAAATTAGTTCATTCTCAAATCAATGATTTCATGTCCAAATCTCCACGTGCAATATCCATCATTGTTCAGCAGAGCTGTCCCGAGATTGTTAAAGCATTTCTAGTTAATTTGATTGGAATGATGAAGAACGCAAGCAAAAAGACGATCCAGAGCTATTTAGAGGCAGTTTGCTACTTCTATTTGCACTTTCCGAGTTATTTCAATGACGGACTGATTATTTGGGCTGTGTTTGATTTCATCAAAGAAAACCAAAGTGTGGCAAAAAATCGGTTTTCTGGTTTCTTCATTGTCACTTTGTCTCTTTTGGACGATAAACAGCTAGAAATTGCATTGGAGATTTTGGAGAATCATGCGAGTAGTTTCCAGTTCAACCAGTGTTTGTATTTGCTGTTTGGACTTTTCGAGAAAAGGCCTGAGTTGTCTGAGAAATTTTCAAAGAACTTACTCAAGCAGCTGAAGAAATTGAACTTCCCACATAACGACGCGAATTACGACGTCATCCAGAACTATATAAAGAATATGACAGAGCTGGACATCAAGAATCCGCCGAAAGAAGTTGTTGAGAGTTTGTTTGTCCTGAAACAGAAACTGATTTCTGACTGGGAGGGAACAATCGAAATTATTCTGGCTGAGGAACTAAATGACACAGAAGGACTGATCGTAAACACGTACAAGATTGTTACTCTACTTGCTTTCAACACTTATAACGTCGTCAACAATCTTTCATTAGCTATAAACCAGTTCGCAAAGAACCAGGAAAAATTCTTAAGTACAAAGCCTTTCTTGAAATGCGAAAAAACTCTCTCCTTCAGACGACACCCATTCTCCTTCCCAGCTCAGACGCCATCCGTTGTTTACCCTTCCCCTTTCCCAATTTACTCCCCTTCTGACAAGCCGCCACAAGCAGTCAGGCCTCAAACGAAAGTTTTTGATTTTGTTTCGAATTTCGATACAAAACTCGAAATAGTCGACTATTTACCAATGGGAAACTTCAAATTCGCAGGGCTGTTTAATATTCATAAAGGTGACATTTTGTCACTTTTTAAGTCAACTTATGGAGATTTTTCAACGATTTCAAATTGCCAACTTTCTAGATTAGACATCAAAGTTCCCTGTATCTGTTTCTTCAGTTCCAAAGGAACTCTTTATCTTTGCGGTGCAAGTTTCGTTGATAATGAAATTTCCTTAAGCGAAGTGACCACTCAAAGTTACACCACATTTTACGAGTCAGCTCTTTTAGGAGAATTCGGTGAGTTCAGGCTGTTCTGCGGCCGAATAATCCTGAAAGTGAAATCTGACAGTGAAATACTTGTCAGAAAAATCAACTATAACACAGAACAGAACTCATTCGAGTTCTTCAATATTTCCAACGGAAATTACATTATCGACTTCGAATCTCCAAACCAAAGCATTGTCACATCCAATCTTATTAATATGCACAATCTCGAGAGCATCACTCAGAAGTGGAGATCGAACGAGATGTCGAATTTCGAGTACCTAAACTACGTGAATTTCTTCGCGCAGAGGTCGTACTCGGAGCTCTCCTGCTACCCGATTTACCCGAGGACATTAAGCGAGATGAACGGCGACAAAATAGAGAGCGAGCCACTCAGAGACCTCAACACGCCGATACAATTGCTTGGGGACCTCGACCAGCAGCACAAGTCTTTCGTGAAGAGATTCCAGCAGCAGAAGTTCTTCTTCCCAGAAAACGTATCAAATCCAATGATCGTAACAACTCTGCATGTCAGAGTTATTCCGTTCTGTCGCTACCAGTGGCTGATGAACGAGGGCTGGGATGCTGGCGACAGGAACTTCCTCTCTGTTCCGTTCCAGCTGCAGGTTTCTGCAAAAACTGTCTACGAACAGACTGCTGAGCTGTTCATTGCACCGGAATATCTATTAAATTTGAATAATTTCATGCTCAAAAACGGTGTTACTTTTGACATTGTTCTTCCTAAATGGTCGAGCAATGTTTTCAGTTTTGTCAATTTCCACAGAATGATTTTGGAATCGAAAAGCGTCAGAGACAATCTGAATATTTGGATTGACTTTATTTTCGGGTACAAACAGAAGTCAAAAGATGATTTCAACATATTCAATCCTCTGGCGTATTTTGAGCCAAAAAGCGATGTCTCGAATGATAAAAAGGAGCAACAGAAGAAGTGGATGTCATTCTGTGGACAGGTCCCCATCCAAGTTTTCTCTGTTTCTCATCCTTCTTCGCTTCAAGTCTCAAAAATGATTCCGGGAGAAATCAAAATTTTATTTGAAATAGGAAAACCGCCAAGATTATCTTTCTCACAAATTCTTAACCAAATTACGATTGATGGCAAAGTTGTTCTGTCTGACAGCGATATGATTTTCGCAAGGAGTGTTTCCATGTCGAACTTCTTCATCGCAGTCAATTTCGTCACTTCTTTCGTCAAAATATATTTATTCATTGACTCCAAAGTGATTTTTATTTTGTCACTCCAGATCTCCAACCCGAGAATCACTTGCATAAACGACAATGTCTTAGTCGCGTGCACGAGTGGCGATGGGTACTTGATATTCTGGTCAATATCGAGCGGTGCTGTCATAAAGAAGTATTCGACTGACGAAACAGTCTTCGACATAAAACTTGATGACGCGACATCGTCTTTCTTCGTCTGCTTCTCGAACTCTATCTGCCAGTATTCGTCTAGTGGTTTCTTGATAACTACAATAAACGCAAACGCGAGACTCAGATCTGTCGCAACATTCGGAAATGGCTTCAGTTTGGCAGACAGATTCGTGTTGGGAGGTTGCATGGATGGAAGTGTAAAGATATTCGGATTCAGCAAAGAAATGAAGCCGTCGTTGGTAAGAGAAATCAAACTGGCGAAATCTCCTATTGTGAAATTAGTTTCTTACGATTCACCAAAAATTATTTCAGCTTTCACCAAGTTGTAATTGTTTTTTATTATTTGTTTTAAATTAGATATAATATTCGTTTATCATTCTGTTTTTTCTTGATTTTATATGGAATTAATTTTCAAAATTAATCACACCAAGGATATGATATTGGAATTAAATGAAACAAGCATAGATGTCCATTATTTATCTTGAGAATTCAAAAATAGATCGATCATGAAATTTTCAATTTGTATCACGATTTATTAGTTATTTTAAATAGAATTATCAACAATTATTATAATAAAAGCAAACATGACTTAAAATCGATAATTGTTTAAATTAAATCTGAATTCCTTGGGATGTGGAGAAATTTTTATGAATTCGAAACAATAAAAGCTCAGCAATATATAAATACTATACAAAGAAATATAGTTCTCGTTTTAATAGCATAAATTTTCATAAACAACCACTAAAATCCAAAATATTAGCAAATTAATCAGTATATTGCCGATTTGTATTTGCAATTGCAAGGGCTTCACATCATTTAAAAAAAAAAAACTCATTTATGGAGAAAATTTCAGCATTGTGACAATTCATTTTGAATTGTTGTAAACAGAAATTCATCAAAAGTGACACCTCAGAAAAGCTAAAATATTGAATTTTTGGAACTTTTGATAGAGCACGTTTTTAAATATTAATTAAAGTAAATGTATATTTTGTAAAGATTCTTTTTAATAAAAAAATAAAATTTTGAAGAAGAACACAAAATCTTCTGAAAAATAATATCACATAAACTCATATTATTTTCTAATATATAACTATTTTATATAAAAATCAAATTCAATGATCTTAAAAGCGAAGGATAAACCTCAAAATTTACGAATATAATGAGTGGGAATATAATGCTTATCTATCATAAAACCATATGAAATATCAATTTTTGCTTTACGCCTAATTTTTGACGACAATTAGCAAAAAATGTTAAATGTTAACACTCAGTCCATTTGAATATGAAAAATAAAATTGACTTTGATTAAATGTTTTTATTTATCATGCAATTCTTCTTGCGACCAAAGATTTGAATAAAAGTTCAAAAAATAAGATAGCTTAAAAAATAATATACGGTAGTGTTTACTAATAGATGAATAGTATATAAATTCTATTAAAATGGATTTGATCCAAAAAAATATATAAAATTTGATCATAAATAAAATCGTTTTAAATTACTTCTTCATTAAAATTATAACAATTATTTTTGGTTTTATATTTTTTTGGATCAAATCCATTTTAATAGAATTTATATACTATTCATCTATTAGTAAACACTACCGTATAATTATTTTTTAAGCTATCTTATTTTTTGAAATTTTATTCAAATCTTTGGTCGCAAGAAGAATTGCATGATAAATAAAAACATTTAATCAAAGTCAATTTTATTTTTCATATTCAAATGGACTGAGTGTTAACATTTAACATTTTTTGCTAATTGTCGTCAAAAATTAGGCGTAAAGCAAAAATTGATATTTCATATGGTTTTATGATAGATAAGCATTATATTCCCACTCATTATATTCGTAAATTTTGAGGTTTATCCTTCGCTTTTAAGATCATTGAATTTGATTTTTATATAAAATAGTTATATATTAGAAAATAATATGAGTTTATGTGATATTATTTTTCAGAAGATTTCATTCTATATGCCTATGAAAAGTACTCTCAAAACTAACTTTTTCCTAATTATAATTAAATCTAGAATATTATTTTATGCTTAGTATTATTTCATTTTTCTCATTCAATTTAGAATTTACAAATGTCAAAAAATTGAGAGCTGTCACTTTTGATGAATTTCTGTTTATTACAGAATAAGCTCAAAAATAGATTGCAATTCTATTGGATCTTTGAAAATTGAAATAATCATTAGCCACCTTATTAAGCTTAATAAATTAAATATTCGATTTTCAAATAATTCAATTTTGTAATAAAAAATGAACTTGTGATCGATATTCTATTCAAAAGCGTCAATTTTTACTAAGTTGACAATTATAAATATATAAAAATTCAAAATTGAATTTCATTTATAAATGATTTTGCGTTAAATTCAAAATTAAATTCAATGAGTTTTTAAGGGTGCACACGAGAGGATCATGTAAACTTCAGAATTTAGAACCTTATTTTTAGGCATTATCTTGGCTACCTATTTAGGCTCGAAAAGCAAAAAATATCAAAAAATACAACTTGACTCCATTATGACCCTTTCATGGAGGTAGTTTTTATCCGCTAGTATTTTCCCTTTGAATCTCTTTACAATTCGAAATCAAATTCAAACCTCAGTAGAAGAAAGGAAGAATCGACTTACTACGGTTGTAATACGAATAAATACATATATTTAATTATTTTTATTTACATAATAATTGTTTGAAGCTCATATTCCAACAAATTTTTAAATAAAAACATTAAAATGTTGAAAATGTTCATATATTTTAATAGGTTTTTGGCACTTTATTGAGGAATTACTACATACATAGTCGAACTGAACTTGATATTTTGAAATTTAAATTATTTATCAAAATTAAAATTTTACTTGAAATTTATAATTATTTAGTCATATTTTACATAATTCTAAGTAGATTTTGTAAAAAATCAAGAAAGAAAAATTTTAACGTGCTTTATTTTTTCTTTTTTATAATAATACATATTATTATATAATTAACATATTCATAATGTTTCACCCTTTCAAAAATATATTCCTCCTCCTCTCAAATAAACGTACATACGGGTGGCCTCTTTTTTCAAAAAATTAAAATTTGAAATTTTGGGCTCAAATATTAGAGATTTTTTCAACCTTCAACGATATATGTTGTCTATATCAGACCTCCTTAGGGTTGTTAAAAATATCAAAAATTAGCGTTTTGAAGACACCATGGTGTCTTATAATTTTCCCTTCCTTATTGGCGTGTAGAAATAAATGCGCCAATAGATTGAAGAAGAAGAATTGTTTTTCTCTTAATGAACTTTAATCCTTTTGATATAAGAATATTAAAAACATTAATATAATTTCGATTTCGGAAATTAAATTTCCAAATTTTTTGTCGATTTCGGAAATAACAGGATCCCGCATCCAACACGCAACAACAAAACACAAAACACACTTTTTGGTTCTTTCATCGTTTTAATCGTAATTTATGTAATACATGATTTGGATAAATTTTGCAAAAATAGAACCTATATTATATTCTTTTCAAAGATTCTTGCAAATCATCAAAAATAATTGTATTTTAAAAAACGATCAAATTATCCTTTCATTATTTTAAACTTAAATTAGTTTTTATGATTGACTAAAGCAATCATATTTATTCATCATTAAATAAACAAAAAAATAATATTTGAGAGTTATTTCAAAAAAAAAACACATTGAATTTATTAATTTGTCTCAATTTCAGTATTATAAATTTTTATAATTTCAATATTTTGAAATACACTTTTTAATATTTCAATATTTATGATATTTCAATGTATTAAGTGGTCTCAAATTGAGCTTCTCAAATATAAGTTGTCCTATTCAAATAATAAAATTAAATAATATTTAAAATAATAAATAAAAGTGATTGAGGTCATAGCAAAACGGCTGTTTCAGTCATTAATTCTTAAAAATAAAAAGGGTAAAAACTAAATACAATGGGTAAAATTCAATAGTGTCTGTGCTATCGTTCAATTTGAAGGTGTCTTTTGAAATCGCAAGACACATTGAATTTTTGAATAGTGTATTATGGTTTGACAGTCACCAATGAAAAAAATAAAATGATATTTATTTTAAATATATAAGATATTTATTTTAAATATATAAGATCCTTATATAAAATATAAATATTTTATCGTTTTATTTTCTTGTTTTAGAAATGCTTTTTATTGAAAAATCAATAAAACTAACTTCAAAATAAAATTTTTGATTTAAAGACACTACGATGACACCTTCAAATCTTCCAAGACACCTATCGTCGGGAATCTAACAATCCTAGACCTCCTTTCTTTTTGATACTTAACATTGTTCTTAAATCTTAGCCGTTAAGGCTGTTCTGAAAATATTTTTTTTTCGAAAAAATTCGAAAAAAATTCTTAAAATTCAAAAATCCCTTAAGGGTGCCCTATAGACGATAAACCACCCTCAGAAAAGCACTTTTAAGGCTATTATATTGAGAACTAGAATCGGGATAATCCATTCATTCGAGTTCTAATAAGGTTAATTTTGTGATGTTTACATTATCGTTATAGGGCACCCTTAATTCCTGAGGATTTTGGGAAAAAGTTTTTACATGAACATGTGTATATTATATGAAGTATATTGATAAGGTAAAAATCAAATTTTATTGCATATTCATCGAGAAAATAAACTAACGAATCCCTCAAAATTGAGAGGGTAATCCTCCTCCTCTCAAATAAACGTACATACGGGTGCACCCTTAAATAAAAAAATAGTTGTGATACTTTTTACGGGCTTATAAATAAGCCCGAAAAAATATCAAGCAACTATTAAAATATATATATTCGCTATTTAATCGTCCTCTCCCTCTCAAAAAGTGACTAATGTTTTTTGAATATTCAATCCAAAAATGCTATTAATTATTTTCCATATGAATATTATGAAAAGCAATACATGGACAGACTTTTACGATTCATCTATTTCCCATGAAGAAATTCCTAACAGATATTTGTATCTAGAGAAAAAAGAAAATGCAAATTTCTTCTTGAATCATTGCTCTTTTAGCGAACTTAAGTCAAGAGCCATTTACATATCTTATAAAGATTGTCCAATTGTTTTAGCGGAAACTTCATGTTTTATTGGATGTTCATCTTCAGATAACGAACAAGGTGGGTCAATATTTTTTGTTGGTCACTCAATTATATTCAATAAATGTTGTTTTGTCGATTCGAATATATATGGAACAAATAAAGATGGTATATTAGCATATCTTTTCTGTAAAAATGATGAAAATAGTTTGAATTATTTCCTATTTTCTGTTGTTTTTGGAAATGGTTTAAAAACACAAAATGGCCTTTCCCAAATTCATCAACTATATGGGCTTCCATATCACGAAAGCATGAATATCACACAAAACTTTTGCAATAGCTATTCCATTTTCAAAATTGAAGGATCAGGAGATTGCTGGATAAACAACTCTTTAATTGTCAATAACAAAGACTCAGGAACAGGAATTATGCTAAATCAGCCAACTGAATTTTATGCTGATCAATTGGAAGCAAATGAAAATCAAAAAAGTGGAGAAGGTACTGCATTAATCACAAGCATGAAAGAAATACTTGTTTTTGAAAGTGTTATTTTTTATGATTCTACTCATGAGGTTGGAATTCACTGTTTAAACTGTGGTTTTTTGTTATCTTATTCCGAAGTGTATACAAATATTATTGGAGAAAATTGCAGTTTTGATTTTAGATCGTCATGTTTTTCAATACATGGAGTTATTCGATTTAATAACATTAGGACCGAAAATTATATCATTAATTGTGGGCAAAATATTATTTTGAATTTCACACTATATGATAAGAGTATTTGTTTCTATCTTGATCCATCTTCAAATATCCATATTACTCCAACTTCGGAGTCATTACCAAATAGAAAAGAAAGCACATATGAAAAGAAAAGTAATTTGGTCCGATATATACCATTTCTAGGGGTTTATAGTAATTATTAATGATAAATGTGTATACTTATTTGAATAAAATCTCTAATTTCATAAAATTCAAATTTGTTTGATAAAGATTCTTTGTTTATATATATATATATATATATATTATATTCAAAAAAAATTAACCCAATTCGACTTCTAAATTACGTTCTAACTCATGCCTTTCTTCAATTACAACTTGTTTCTTCCTATAATATATAAATAACGCTAATCCAATAATAGAACAAATAATAATTGCAGTGCCAAGAATTGAACTGATTATTACAATGATATTTCTTGTTCTATTTTTGTTTTGAGGCTCTGTGCAAACAGAAAGGAAATACCTTTTGAGATCATTTATTGAATCTTTAGTAGCTGTTTCATTGAAATAGCAATCTACAAAATTAATACGAAGTATAATATTGAGATCAGGATTCTCCTTCACTTCATTAATCAAATCTTTTAATGCACTGTTAATAAATACACAATTAAAATAAGTCGTATTTTGGTTATAAGAAGGATACATTATAATTTCTTTGCCTCTTGTTTGGTTGACGAAATGAGAGTGGAAAATTTCTGATATGAAGAAACATGTGCATACTTCTGAATCAATATTTGTTTGTTGGCAAAATTTAACTAATGTTCTGAAGCAATTATTAACACCAAACAAAACACATATATTAGACTCATTGATTCCTTGTATATGTGATGTTTCAGAAATAGTAGGAATTGAACTTTTATGTTCTTCTTCAATAGGTTCGGAGTTTCTGTTTATAGAATAATCAAAATAGGATTTCAAACTGGTTATTTTTTGATTTGACCAAATTGTACTTGAGTTAAAATAAATTGTTCTATTTGTTATCACAGACATGAACTGCGAAATATATCCCAAACTGTAAATTGAACATATTTTATTGATAGATGCATTTGCATCGTAAAAATCTATATTAATTGATCCAACAGAGAGTTCTGATTGGCATCTATAGAATAAGCATTCGTCAATCACAATATTAATAGGAGATTTTGCCAACAAGAAACCTGGCTGTTGTATTGTGATTGCAGAGCCAGATTCGACAATTGTACTTATATTTAAGAACTGGCAATCAATGATTTCGACTTTTTTATCAACAAATTTTAATGTAATTGAATTATTTGTTATGTTGTTCTTTAGTACTGATGTAAATATTATGTAAGGGCATTCTATTTCTTCAAATTTTGGAATTGGAACGTTGCCTGTTATAATTACATATTCTGCATTTGATATCTTTGCTTCTGAGATCTCTCTATTTGAGTAAATATAATTATTTATTTGAATGGCTCCAATTGTTGTGTTTATTAATATGACTCATTTATATGAGTTGCATAATCCGGATTAACAATTTGAAAAACTGATCCGGAATCTTTTAAAAATTCGAGTAGATGATTTCTTGCATTTTCGTTTTCAAGTCCAGCTGTCCATATAAAATGTTCTTTTTCTTCATCTTTTGTGGAATGTAAACAATATTCTGGTGAATGATTTCCAATTAGATGATCTACGGCGTGGAGCCAATAAAATAGCTTCTGTTCTTTGGAAATATGCTTATCCAATAAAGTATTAAAGAATATTTTGAGTCTGTTTTTGATACCATGAAAAATTTTTGAGTCGACGATAGGCATGTCATTTTTTGCATACTCATTAGAGTTAGTATACAAGTCTTGGGTATGGTGGCACCGTGCGCTCCTTACCCATTATATATGAATTTGACACTTTACAAAACCGTTAACGTATATTTTACAACATGAACGCAAAAACTAACTTAATCTTAAATATTTACAAAGCCGCCAACCACTTCACTAACGAACTCACTAATGTAAAAAATAAACGTTCTCACTATCGTTCTCACTAACGACTTCACTAATGTTCTCATAAATTTTCCTCAATATCTTCATCATCAGTGTTAACCCTATTGTAGTCATACTTGAAGCCATAAACTTTCTCTAACTTCTTAACGTACAATTTACATAACTTACCTTCGTCATCGTATGGTTTAATGATATAACTATTTCTATCTTTATACACAGTCAATGAAAAGTCAACTGGTCTCGGATGTATTTGAAAGAACATGTTATGCTCAGGAAGGAAGAATAAATGTTTAAATGTATGTTTGTTATATTTTTCGATTTGTATGAGTTGCTTTTGTTCTGTCATTTACATCCAAATAAAAATTTTCAGTAAAATAAAAAATGAACTTAAAAATAAATGATATCACCACCCTCACACGTATGAAAACATAGCACAAAAATAAATTTAGGTGAAGTGGTGAATCTCACCTCTTTTTTCACCTCTTTTTTCACCCGTTGAATTCATTACTTTATAACTCTCTTCCTTGGTTTCTTTTTAGTTGCTTTCTTCACGTCTGTCTCCAACTTGACTGTCTTTCTTCTTCGGCCGTAATGATACCAGTTACTTCCACCAGTCAATGGGTCAAATGGTCTTTCGTAAGGGTTTCCATACATTCCATAGGGACCATACGGAAGAACTACTGGTGGAGGAAGAGTTCCATCGACTCTATTTAAATGCATTGTTTCACCTTTCATCTGGTCATTAAAGTCTTTTGCGTGTTTTGCAAACTCATCGTCCTTTCCTAAAGCATTTTCTGACTCAGTCGCAACCAAATTGGATGCTTTATTTATGAGTCCTATTTTATTTAATCTTAACTTCTTTGCAACCCAGCCTCCAATCTTTCCTTTATTTGCATCTAATGTCTTCGAAACTCTTCCTCCACTCATTTTATTTACTGCGTCATAAGCTCCAAGTGCTTTTGCTCCAAATGCTAATGCTTTTGTTCCCATTGCGCCTAAAGCTGCCCAAGCTACCATTTACACCATATTAAAATCATCTCTCTTCAATATTATCTCATAAAAGTTCTCGTTACTGGAGAAAGTCAATGAAACATAAACATTCTCATTCATAAACTTCTTTCTTATATCATCTATTCGCTTCAAAATGTCTGAACAATTGCTAACATCTTCTACAACAGTTATTTCATCATGAATGACCTTCAAGAACAAGCTCATTTAATATGCTATTAAAATCATCTCAATAATGAGTCCATCCTTTCCATCTTTAGGTAGCACAACATCTTTCATTGAAGAAGGTTCGACAAGTCTTATGTTAAACTTACTGACAAAGTTTGTTATACTATAATGCTTCGGTGGCGAATACATGTAGTTTGAAAGACATAATATAGATTCTTCAGCAAATTCACTTATACTGGATTTTATAACAATGTTCTCACGAGACCAAATACCACCAATTGACAATCTTGTAAGCAATCCTGCTGAACCTTCAACTGTAAACGTCGATGGTAACATTCCACGAAGGTCATCTATTGACATCTTTGAGTCACTGAATTTAAATATTTTCTTAAAGCAATCGTCATTATCTAACCATGCAATAGCTTTGAAGTTTTCATTCGAATATACATCTGCTTCATTAAATGTAAAACCTGACTTCTTTGCAGAGATGACTTTAAAATCTATTGAGTTTGTTTCAAAATTATATGCTATGCTAACTTCTGAAGGTAATGGATGTCCTTCCGCAGTCAGTTGTTCTCTCACTACCGTTTGAAGCTTTGTGTTAAAAACTTTCATGTCATCTCCTGTGTCTAGGTTCACATACACAGCAACAGGAAAACTATCTTGCTTCTTTGTTTCATCATTATACCTCAAAACATTAAAGTTCTTCAATAATATTGTTCTTCCTGCTGGAATACTTCGAACCTGTCTGATTTCAATAGCTTTCTCACCTCCTACATACTCTACCCAGTGCCTTGGATATTCATAAGTATACTGACTTTCTTGAATTTTGGTAGGTTTCATCATAACGTGTTCATAGTATATCTTTATACTCTTGTCAGTTAGACTCGGTGCTATGTTCTGAATATTTCTGACTTGCATTTTTAATGGAGATAAAATGAAGCATTTAATACATGACGTAGATGAAGACATGAATGAAACTACAGACAAACTTAACTCTTCTCTCATTCTTCCTTTCAGTAAGGACTATGAGTTCTGTTCAAATGGCGTTTATTTCTATTGTGGAAAGATGGGTTCAGGTAAGACATTTAATTTAATTCGTCATATACTCATAACAGAACGTTTAGGAAATGACTCATATTATGACCAAATCATTATATCAGCAACTTCAGACTCTATGGACTCAACAGCGAAAACATTTATGTCAAAAGTTCAAGCCTCTGTCGTTAAAGTTCCAGACAGTGAACTCATTGAATTTCTTCAACGTTACATTCGACGTAAGAGGAAATATTATGCCATCGTTGAATTTATACAGTCAGGAATGCAAAAGACTTCTGAGGAGATGGAAAGAATTATTGACAAACACCACTTACGTCAGTACTCAGGAGTTTACGATATGAAACGACTGACAAACTACATTCTATCAAAACTTTCAAAATACCCCTTCAAAAAATATCCTTCAAACACTCTGCTCGTTTGCGACGACTTCGCTGGTAAAGGTTTAGTGTCAAAACCAGACTCACCATTAGCTAATATCATTACTAAAGTCAGACATTACCACTTAACTGTAGCAATACTTATGCAAACATGGAGGTTTTTAGCTTTAAACATAAAACGTCTCATAACTGACTTCGTTATCTTTCAAGGTTTCTCACGTTATGATATTGAACTCATTTGGAAACAGTCAGGTATAACATTACCTTTTGAAGAAATTTGGGAAGCATATAAGTCTCTCATCTCTCCTCGTTCATACCTTGAGATTCATATCATGACTAATACCATTAAAGTCAAAAATATTCCATGGGAACGACCAACATTGTTTTAAAGTTTAACCTTCAATTGACTGATGGTAAACAAATTCCATGCATCTCTGTCGCCATTTCTGTTAATATTTTTGCTGTCATTCATATCATCCACTTCTCCATCCGTTAGCTTTTGAGGATATGCGTTAGAATAGCTGTTCTTAAATGAAGGCTTTTCACCTTTGAGAGCATAAACTCTATAACTTTCTGCATACTTTATGTTTGAACCTCCTGAGCCATCATTGACATAAATTTTTATAGGCTTCCACCCTTTGTTCATGTTCCTGCTTCTTCCCTTAGCTCTTTTGTTCAGTAGTTCTACATCTTTATACACAGCTCCTGTCTCAGTGAATTCAACAATATTTTCATTCGTTAGCTTTACATTCAAACCCTTGTCGAGTATATTGTTCATTTCATACATATAAAAGGTTTTTATTCTATATGAAATGAGAAGCAAATCCATCTTAGCTGGTGCCGTTAATGTTCCAATTGAACCAACATCAAATGTTGACTCACGAACGACAAACAATATTGTCATAAAGAACTATAGTTCAGAGTGTTTGAAAGAAAAAGAACCAGAACTGAAATCCGTGAATTTAAACTCAGCTTCAAACGCTAACGCTACATCAGATGTTAAGTTAGAGTATCCACCACTGGACCAAGTTCTTTCAAGAGAAGCCAACGACAACCCTTACACAAATGTTCAAACAAATCCTTCAGATAACGTAGACCATTACCTTCTTCAGTTATACCAAACAATTTTACTCAAAGACGATAAGAAGCTTTTGACAAATCTTATAAGCAAGAACCAAATAATTCTAACAAAGGAGGACCTTGAAAATGTTATATCACGAATAACAGGGAAACAATGTGTCATTGACTATCTCGACCCTGAAATCGAATGCTGTGGTCAAACGCCACCATTCATGAAAATAGGTAACATCCGCATCATTGAAACACCAGGAACTACAGGAGTTGAGTTTAAGTATAAATATTCGAATGAATATACAAAACTTTCAACAGAATATAAACTTTGTTTGAAATATGTTTTAGTAAATTAAAGCAATTTGTAATATCTATCCAAAACTTCTTCAACAGTATCGAACTCATCTTCATAATGCAAACCTAATCTTATTGACTTGGTGCAGTTTTCACTAACACAATATAGCGCTTTGCGCTCGGCGCCTTTGACGCCTTTTTCTGTTCTCTTGACTGACATAACTAATTCATTTGTTTCATCAAACAGCAACAACCAAAGTTCATGACCTAATACATAACATTCATACTTTATATTTTTAGCTCTGAGTTCTCTTGTAAGCTGTTGCATTTAATATTTTCTAAAAAGTCAACTTCAACAGTCATTCGCACTGGTGCCTTCAGTTCTACAGGCTCGCCTTGAAAGTCAACAAGTCTGAATTGCATGTCTTTCAAATTATGAGGACTAATGCGAATCCATTTACCTAAATGAGTTGCTATGACAGGAACGTTTGGAATGAACATTGAATTGACTGCATAACAGAAAGACTTATATTCTACTGAACCTTTACTATTAACTCCTGAAATGCCTGTGACATTAGCTATTTTAGACTCAATGTACAAACAATTACCATAACATACGTATGGAACAGATTTCATCTCAATCGTTTTGTCAACACTTTTCAAAGGAAATGTCATATGGTATGCACCCAGAAGCAATTGAACTCTATGACTCATTCGTGTTATCTTAAACTCCTTTGCATAACTGAACTTCAAAACTCCTGCAATAAGTTTAACATTCATTAAGTTTTCTTCGTTATCCTTGTTTATTGTAGTATTTATGAGAGCATTTAACACTCCAGCTAATGTTTCCATCTTATATTCTACATTATTGTGAAATCTTATTTCGTGCTTCTTTCCATCTATTTCAAACTCCATGAAATCTGTTTCATCTGTTATGACAAAAGTTGCGATAGTATTGAAGTCAACAACTCTGAAAGCAAGTGCTTCATTCTGAAGACCTAAGTTTGTTTGTAGCTTTACTATTCCGTATTCGTTTGGGTCTGTACTTTGCAAATAGAACAACATTTTATTCTCATTAAAATATGACTATTGCTGCATATGCGTATGAAACAAATGAAGCAAGAAGAGCACATGAACTAGTAAACGAAAACTCAACTTTAACCATTGAAGGCAATGATTTAGTCATTGACGATGGAAAAACTAAAAAAGTCATTGATTTCGATACTTTTAACACTTATGACCCATTCATTACAACAAGCAAGGTTCCTATCATAAATGATGGAACGGTGCAATATATAAATTCTACAGTAGATGCCTCATTAGTGAAAGTACTGAATGTTCTCATTGAATTGTTAAAGAGCTTTCGATTTGACGACAACATTAAATGCTTAAAGAATTTAGTCATGAATGAGAAACAAATTCTTGGCGTTGCTGGTAGCAGTAATGATGTACACCTTATGACATTAGAATATTATAACGAACATAAAGATGAACTGAAAGGAGAGAAGGGTGACACCGGACCTCAAGGACCACAAGGAATACAAGGAATACAAGGAATACAAGGACCTCAAGGCGAAAACGGTTTGGATGGAAAGGATGGAAAGGATGGAAAAACTGCTAAATCATGGATATGGGACCTTATAAATACTGGTTTAACAGCTGCTTCATATGGAGTTCTTCAATACCAAATCGGAAAGATATGGGCAGTACTTGGTGAAGAAGTTTTAAATGACGTTAAAAATGCTTTGAACTTCATTTCAAATGGTTCGGATACTATTAAAACTTTATCTGGTTGGATGCAAGAAACAAGGAGTCAAATAGATACTGTAAGACGTATAGCAAACAATGCACGTACGGGATTGGATACTTTACGACAAGCACAAAATACACTAAAGGAAGCAAATGATATTCTTGGCTCAGTATCAGACATGCATGAAGATTGGCTTAAAGGTATTGACAAATCTTTAAAAAATCACAGTCAGTCTATTGCTGACTACAAGAAAAGTATAGATTTTTTACATAGTGCTATGGACGTACATGATGGAAGCATAAGGAACTTACTTAATGCTAACAATAACTTACCAGGAACTATTAAAGCATTTATAAAGTCCTTTGTAAAACCCGTGCTCTAACATTTAGGTCTTTGAGAGCAAGAGCATTGAAGTCAAGAGATGCAGAAACTCCAACAGAAGGAACTGAAACAACAGAAACTCCAGAAGAACCACCAAAACCAACAGCTAATGAAATATTGTTCGAATATTTTCCAAGGTACTCTGTTCTCATTGCATACATTCAAGAAATACTTAAGAAAGCAGACTTGACTTTAGGAGATGATGAAAGTTCTGTATATCTTTCGTTCCAGTTTCAAATAGCAGAACTTTTGAGACAGATATGCTTAATGTATGACAACATCTCTGATTTCACAAGATATGATGACGACCATGACCCCGAACACGGTGAAGAAGAAGTTTTACAAACATCCATTAAGACAGGAAAGGTTTTAACTCAAAGTCTCATTATTGACACCAAAGATGGCGAAGTGGACGTTCTTCAAGAGCTGAAGAAAAATACTTCTTCGGGAGGTGGTGGTAGGCATGAACTTGAAATAAATGAGATAGAAGAGAAATTAGCCGAAAAAGCAGATAAAGAACATAAACACAATATCTCCGATATAAATGAACTTCAAGCTACATTAAATAGTAAAGCGGACAAAAATGAACTTGACGCAATGAACAAAGTTTTGAAATCTCATAAACACAATATCTCCGATATAAATGAACTTCAAGCTACATTAAATAGTAAAGCGGACAAGAACCATGTTCATTATATAACTTCAGACGAACAGATTATAACGGACTACCATGGATATTTAACACGAAGTGATGAAGCGAAGACAAAAAATGTTAATGAAAGAAGATATAAATACATTCGTGCTAAAGGTTATGACATAAGCTGTACTGTACAGTATGATGTAGCTAAAGCACCAGAAGCATTTGGTTATACCGGTGAAATTTATGCCTCTACTTTCAATGTTAACGGTGTATTAGTTGAACCAAGATTTACTTTGAGAGTTAAGGCAAAAATAACGTTTGAAGATGCTATTAAAAGTAAAGCTGACAAAGTTGAACTCGAAGCAATGAACAAAGTTTTGAAATCTCATAAACACAACATCTCCGATATAAATGAACTTCAAGCTACATTAGACAGTAAAGCTGACAAGAACCATACACATAAATCCTTCACTACTGTTAGAGCAGACGACATAATATTGAACTTTGACCTTGGTTCAAGTGCACCATTAGAAAATCCAAGTACAAGCGTAAAAGATACTCTTAACAGTTTAGATAAGAGTTGCAGGAACATTGAAAGTCATGCCAGAAACTTTGAAGCATATGAACTACCAACAATGTTAGATAAGAAAGCAGATAAAACTTATGTGGATGCAGAACTAACAAAGAAATTTTCGAAACCAGATACAATGACATTTACAACAGAAATTATAAATGGTGAACCAGCAACTCCATTTGAATTTGTTAGAGGTCTTCAACCAGATACTTTTGAATTTTTCTTGGATAATTCTATTGAACTAACATTACATTATAAAAGTGGAACAAATGCAACATTTCATCCGGGAGATACATTCCAAATGGTATTTAATGACATAAGTTCTTTAGAATATGTTTATAGAGTTATGAGCATATATGATTTAATATATCCTATAGGAGCTGTTTATACGTCTATGAATCCAATAAATCCAAACACTTTATTTGGTGGTAGATGGTATGAAATAGTTGACAGTTTTCCATTCTACACTAATACGCAGTCAATGAAGATGGGAGGTTCAAAGAAAATAGGTATTGAAAACCTTCCTTCACATATGCATAGGTTCAGTGGAAGAACATCTGTGGAAGGAAACCATTCACATTCAATAACAAAAAGAGGTTATATAAATCTTGCAGCGGGTTCGAATAGACAGGGAATGAACAGATATGATATCTCAGATGACCCCAAAGATGTTAGCACAGGTATTTTCTGTGGAACTGCAGGAAATCATACACATGTTGTAGCTGGTATTACAGACCCAGCAGGTAATGGAAAAGATTATATGCCTCCTTATATAACAATGCACGCTTGGATACGAGTTGGTTAAAATCTTTAACTTTACATAAATGAGCTTGAAAGAAGTATTCGAACAACATCCATGGAGGTCATTTAAGAAGTTCAATGAAGCTGCAAAGAGTTGGGGATTTACTAACAGAGCTGAAGTGAAAAGGTTCTTTGACAAAAATGTTGTACATCAAACAAAAATAAACCCTTACGACTACTTTTTACCAATTTACTCCAACACTCCTGACGCATACCAATTTGACACTCTCATTCAAAGCAGAAAAGGAGGACATAAACCATTCCTCATCTTCATAAATGTTAACACTCGTAAAGCATATGCATATCCAATGAAAAATAAAGGAACTCGTGAAGTGTTAAGAGTTTTACAAAAGTTTGTAGCAGAACATAACCCAAGTACTTTAACATCAGACCAAGACAGTGCATACCTCAGCAATGAAATCACAGAATTTCTCATTAAGCATAACATAACTCACTACACTACTGAAGACCATAACCATAACATACTCGGCATCATAAACCGCTTCATAAGGACTCTCAGAGATTTAAACCAAGAGCGAGACTTTACCGAAGAAACAATGAAACATTTTCTCGAAGTATATAATTCCTCAACACATTCTACAACAGGACATACACCAAATTCAATGACACAACAACAAGAAGAAAAGTATATACAAAAGAAACGAAGCCAAACACAAAATATCAGAAATTCAACACAATTTACCCTCATTCCTGGTACAAAAGTTCGTGTAGTTCTTGACGACAAACCGTTGACAAAGAAACGTTTAAGGTTAAGTCGAAATTATTATATTGTAGACTCTACGCAAGGTAATGGATATCTTATAAAAGCTGCCGACGACTCTATTGCGTTTTATCCTCGACATAAATTAGTCGAAAGTAGTAATGGCAAACTTGCTGAAAACCATTGACGAAGCAAAGCGAGGAGTGGTTATTGAAATACTTGGCTATAACACAAACGATGACACTTATAAAGTAAGATATGAAGGAGGCGTTGAAGATGTTATACCATCTAAGAACTTGAGAGAGTCGAAGCCAACACATCTGGGACCATTAGAGCGGGAGTACTGGAAAGACAAAAATATGCCAGAAAGAATAAGAAAATTCTTCTAAACTTTTTCATTAGATGTAAATCAGACAAAAATATAATTTAGGTGAAGAGGTTAGATCTCACCTGTTTTTTCACCTCTTTTTTCACCCCGTGAATTTTCATGAATTTTCACAAAAGACCAAAAATAAAGTTAGTTTTATTTTTTTTTTATTTTTTTATTTTGTATGTAAGAACAGAAATGTCAGTCGAAGCAAAAACATTCACGAACAAATCTAATGGTGAAACATTCACAAAAGGCACTTATAACGGTATTGAAGTCTTACGTAGAGACAAGGATGGTTACATTAATGCAACAAAGATGGCAAGAGAAGCGGGAAGGTTAAACCATTTAAACAGATTTCTCAATAGTACTAAAATGCAGGAAATTCTTGAGTTTTGGATGAACGAATACGGTGGAGCCAAAAGTGGCTCGACCTCAAAACAAGCATTTTATGAGCTTACTAAGGGCGTTATGAATGAATTCAAAGGTATTTACATACATGCTGACCTCGTTCATTTTGTTGCTGAATGGTGCTCTGTAAAGTATGCATTTTATGTCAAAGATATTATGGACTCCATAGACAAGAAAGTTCATGAGAAGTTAGATGAAGAAGAACTCGAAGATACAGTGGAGAATGCTAAACCTTTGTTCGAAGAAGAAGTTGGAAAAATGTGTGAAAAACAATTAGAACATGAACGTGAGATATATTATGGTTATAGAGATTCTCCATACGAACTAGACCAATGGGAACAAGAAGATTTAAAGAGAGAATTTAGAGAATATGAACTCGCTAAGATAGCATTTGAAGCTGCAGAAAAGAAGTTAAAAGTTTGGGGTCGTTTTGTACAAAAATATTGTGAGTAAATGAACCATTTATTTTTATTGAATTCACCAAAAAATATAATTTAGGTGAAGAGGTGAGATCTCACCTGTTTTTTCACCTCTTTTTTCACCTCTTGAATTTTCGTGAATTTTCCCGAAATAAAAAATAAAGTTAGTTTTATTTTTATTTATTTTTTATTTTGTATAAAAGATATGATTTCAACAATCGGCACAACAACAATTCAAGCCGCGAACGGCGGGACTCTGTCCACAACAACAGCACCAAACTCGTTAGTCATGAATCCTACGTCAATGTTAGTAGAGATGAAAAACTTCATTCCTTCTTCATATACTTTCGAAACAAAAATCCAGAAGATAAAGCAAGAACTTTTAACAAGTAATTTAGACTGTAGTGCGAAAGATGAAACAAATGAACAGTATCTTTATGAAATGCAGGACATTATTGACCATTTACCCAAATTGCCTGAAATCCAACAACAAAAACTCACTATTCCTGAATTCGACGAAATTGAAGTGAAACCAACTGACTCAGTAGAAATAAAGAAGTTCATACGTAAAGTAAATTATGAATTCCTTGGTTTTCATTGCAACCATAAGGTTATGGACAAAGATTGCGACATGGTATATAAAAACATTTCTGACATATATAAATCTGAGGAGTTTAAGACTTACGATAACTTTGTTTCATTAGTTGCAAAATGTGTTTGGGAAATAAGAGATAAAGATAGAAGAGGCAAAGTATGGAACGAACAAATAAGACCCGCTATGTTTGAGATGAAGAGAGCAATTGACGCCTTAGTTGTTTTAGCTGGTTTTATTTCAATGTATAACGCAAAAATGAACCCGCAATGTTCAAAATGTAAGGCAGCAATTAGGAAATATAACTACTCAGTCAAAGAGATAGAAAGAATGAGAAACGACTATGCAGACTTAAAGAAAGAAGCAGAAAAGCCAGCAGAAGATAAAATGAACATGTTAGAATTTCTGAACAAAAACTATCCAACAGCAGAAGATTTCCTTCTATCTGACGTCAAGAAGAAGTATAAAGAAACCTTCGGTATTGTTAAAACTTTTGACATACTGACAGAAGAAATAGAAGCTACGAAATTGTTTAGGATTTCAAATATACATCGTACAATTCATGTAAAACGCTTGTGAAAAAACTGGGGTGAAAAAAGAGGTGAAAAAACAGGTGAGATCTCACCTCTTCACCTAAATTATTTTTTGTTCAAAGCTTCCACGAGAGAAAAGATTCCTCATTCGCTAAGGATTCCAAAAATGAAAAAATCATTGATTTCGGCTGAGAAAAAAAGCAAAACCCTTCTTCCACGGGAACAAAGAAATAAAGAAGAAATAAAGATAAAGTAAATTTTTTATTTATTCCCGTGGAAGATAGAGCACTTTTATGACACTTTTTATTCACGACAAACAAGACAAACAAAGAAAATAAGAAAATACGGCGCTGTCGCGGTTCGAACCACAGACTCTGACCCCCATAACACCACCTTAGACCACTGTGCTACGTAGCCTGTCGACATAAGATTTTATAAATTGCATATTTGACGTAAATTTATTTCCATCTAGCTTCCCACCGCATAAGATATTCATACGTGTTTGTAAGACATTCATTAAACTTCTTTTCTATTGCATCTAATCTTGCGTTATTTTTTTCAATAGCTTGTCTGTATTCTTCATCATCTCCAGCAGTGTTTGGGTCTTCACGTTTAAAATATTCATTGTTAACCAATTTTTTATCTACAAATTTTATTAGTGTTTGATTCACTTCGTTATGATAACGGTCATATTCTTTCAATACGTAAGTGAAGACAAAATGCGTCGTACCTTCAATCTTAAAGCTTAAAGAACTTTCAACACAGTTTTGAGGGTCTGTCAGTGCGTCAATGAGATAGTATTCGAAGTCAGTCAATAATCTTTTTAAAGTCATTTCATACAGGATAAAATTTAATGTTGTGAAGAAATAGTGTTTATCTCAGAAAAAATAACGCTAATTTTATTTTTATTTATTTTTTTATTTTGTATGTAAAGACAGTAATGACAACATCAGAGAACACAACAACAGTTATAGTCCATGAAGCAATAAATGAAGAATACGAGTACATACAATATAACAAACAGTTACGTCTCATTCGTTCAGTCAAAGATGACATGTACCAAATGCAAAGTATTTTGACAGCATGTTATGCTCCAGATACTAAACTTCCTAAAGACTGGTTTAGGAACCAAAGCACTATTGAACTATTAAATGAAGCACAGCGAGACATACTTTTTTCTGAAAACAGTGAAGAACAGCGAGTAGGTAAAACCCCAGTCGCCAAAACTCTATGAAAATCGTGAAAAATTGCCAAACGGTTTGAGAGGATATTATGTTCATAGACTTCTCGTAAATGTTGTAGCAATGTGGGCTTCACCTCGTTATGCTTGGTATGTTTGTAAACTTCTTGACGAAATTCACAGACAAGAACGCGAACAGATGGAAAAGAAACTTCAAGCAAAAGATGAAGTCATTGAATCCAAAGACAAAAGCATACAGAAAAGAATACCACGTTCAGTACCAAAAGGAAAGGAAAAGAGTTATAAGTATATGATTTACGCTGAAGAGATGGAAAATGAAGAAGACAGAGATATGGTTATGTTGCATTTAGTCAGAAGAAACAACAAAAGCTTTTATGACCTTGCTAAGATTTACAAATCTGACAGAAACTGGTTCTATCGTGAAAACTTACCGATTTCAATGACACCGAATGAGCAAATAAAGGAAATTGTCAAAAATACTCTTCCTCAAACACACTATGACATCAAAGGTTGCACAATACTTACATTCAAAGAAGACTTACCATTGTTAAAGGAAAAAATAACAGAGTATTTCGATAACTTCAAAGAGGAAGAATGAAAATCTAAGCTAATTTTATTTTTTTTATAAAATTTTATCTCATATGAAAGAACATGAATTTAGAATATTCGGAACTCATGACAGAAGAGGAGAACGAACAGCATGTAAAAGATTATGCAAAATTTATGAAGACATACAAAGCATTTAAACAATATCTAAATGCTTCTAAAGATTATGCAAAATTTCTGAAGGTATATAAAGCTTATGAAAAAGCGTATGAAAAGTTTATACATTGGGGAATTGTTGTAAAATATCCATATGAAGACTAACCAAAAATATATTTTTGCTTAAATAGCTTCAGGGTCAATTTCTTCAACCATTTCACTTCCTTCGTCAATGTCAATTGAAGCTTCTTCAACCTTTGGTAAGAATTTCTGTATAACATCTTTGTTCGTTATTGTCTTCAGAGATGAAGGATAATATTTCACATTTGTTTCACCCTTCTTATATTCTTTCTGTTCGGAAAGATTCATAGCAATACTGAAGAAGTCAATGTTAGAGTTCTTTATGACAGTATAATGAGTATCTTTGACATTCACGAAGAAACTCTTTTGTTTCAAAACTACTGCTAACTCTTGTGAAGTATAACGTTTGCGGTCAATGACGATAGCTAATGGTCTGACATACTGACCAAACTTAGATTCTTTCACAAACTTCTTGTTAAAGATAATATTAACATTTGAAGCATTATTGAACTCATTCTTGATGGCAGTAGCGAGAGCATTGTATGAAAAGAACTTGCAATCTTGCATGTGTTTCATTAAAATAAAAATATTAAATTATTTTGAAAAATAACTTAAAAAAATCTAATCTAATTTTTTCAAAAATATTTTTTTTATTTCCTACTAAAGATGTATCGGAAGTTGTCTAAGTTAGAACACTCGGAAATAAAACAACTTCTTACAGAAGCTAATATAGATGTTGCAAAGCATTACGCAACAAACAAAAAAGCACTCGCTGACTTCATTAAAGACTATAATGGTGCAATAAGTTATGATAGAATTCATGAGTTCATAAAGCCGCAACGCGGCGAGGACGAAGTCCATGCAATAGCATTTCCTTTAAATGACGTTGCTATTGACTTATATCATAGACGTTCAGTACCTCATGAAGTAAGAAGAGAGATGTTTGACATAACAAATGCGAACGTTGGTCATACTCGTAAAGCTCTTTCGCATGAAGTAAGAAGAGAAATGTTTGACATAACAAATGCGAACGTTGGTCATACTCGTAAAGCTCTTTCGCATGATGTTCGTCAAGAGATGTTTGACATAACAAATGCGAACGTTGGTGAAACAAGAAGAAGAGACGACACACTGAAACAACAGAGAAGAGAGATGTTTAAGAGCGCTATAGAACAAGTTCGCAAAGCTAACGATGTCATTCGTTCCATTGACGACAAACCAAAAGAAGGTGAGAGATGGTTAAAGAAAGATGAAGAGAATAGGAAGAGAAATGTGAAGTCAGGCAATAGACTCATTGACTTTAACATCGAAGCTTTAGATGAACCAAACAGAGACTACTTACACAAACATTTCGGTAAGGTTTTCATGAGACTCTTAGAGAAAATTAAAATAAACTCACAACAGAGATGGATGGTATGTTATAAACTTGGTGGAAAGTATGAATGTTCTACGTTAAACCTCAATAATATTGGAACATTACTACATCAGCTCTTGAAGGAGAACTTTATATCAGAGATAGAAGCAAATGCCGCAGGTATTGTTGAAATGCACTATGACTTCTTCTTGACAAACATAAAGAATCTTACCGAAATAAAGATGTATGATTTAACAGAATATGAAGGCTTAACGATGTCAGATGTAAAGAAAGGCAAACCAAAAAAGAGACCATATAGAGATGAAAGCACACTGACAAATGACCAGAAAGCCATTTTGGAAGCTCTTAAGCAAACAGGAAACCCAGCACTTATAGAAAGCTTTTGGAAAGATAATGGTGAAAAGAAGTTTTATAAGAAGAGAAGCGGTCAGTTCTGGAAGTATCTTTGCACATTACCTATAAATCTTGAACGCTACCAAATCTTCAATGAACTGAACAAAAGAACTGCAACACTTATGACAGAGGACAATTGTTTCGTTTATGCTTGCATTCAGGCTGGAGTAAATGAAGAAACTATTGACCACATGAGAGAAGTCATTCGTGTTAGAGACTTTCCTCAAAGTAAAGTACAAGAAATTTCTGACGCAACAGGTATATCATTTAATGTTACCATTGGTTATTTCAATGAGTCAAGACATAATGAAATAAAGAGATATATACCAAAAGAATGCGAAACTGTTAGAACTATTGACTTACTTCTTGTTGAAGACCACTACATGCTAAATGAAAGATTACCAATGACAACATACTTCATTCGAAACTATAAAGAAATTCTCAAAGCTTGTGGTGGAATGAACATTGAGAAACAGATGAAGATTTATACAAAGAGAGAAGATAAATATGTAGTTCGTTATGATAGAACAACACCGTTATGGGATGTTATGAAAACATTGTGGGAGTGCAAATATTTCGAACCTATTTCTTATGGAGAACTTTTCACATATACTACTGACTTATATAAACAGAACCTTGCACCATTTAAAGATTTGACATATGCTCCAAAGTATTGTGTACAACTGAAGAAGAAAGCAGAGTCAAAAGAAGTAAATAAAGCTAAATGTAAATTCATACCTGAGCACGTTTTCTTTGCTGACTTTGAGTGTAGTACGGATGGCTTTCATAAAGCTTTTAACATCTGTTATGACAGTGAAGATGGTTCAGTTAGTGAAAGCATTTGGGGTCAAAACTGTGCAACAGAATTTTTGGAAAGACTTCCTGACAAGAGTTTAATATATTTCCATAACCTCAGTTATGACATAAACTTCATCTTAAGACACATGACAGAAGTGAAAGGAACTCCCATCATTAAAGGTTCACGAACAATGCAAATAACTGGCTTATATAAAGGACGGGCAATTATTATAAAAGACTCTTACAGTGTTATAAATAAGAAGCTTAAACTATTTCCTGCTATGTTTAACTTACAAACAGGACCGAAAGAAGTATTTCCATATAACTACTACAGCAGTGTTTTGTTAGCAAATGACAACAGAACTGGTGTCATTTCTGAAGCATGTAAGTTTATCCATGATGCAGATACATTTATGAAGAACATAGATTCCATCAAAGGTTGCAGAATAGATGAAAACCACTTCGACTTAGAAAAATATAGCACGTTTTACTGCAAACAAGATGTAAGAATTTTAAGAGAAGGTTTTGTAAAGTTCCGCAATGACTTATTGAAAGAGTTTGATTTAAACGTTTATGACTACGTTAGTATTTGTTCTATTGCTAACAAATTGTTTGAGAACAGAGTATACTTCCCGAATGGAAATCTTTATGACCTCTCAAATAAACCAAGAGAATTTATTTCGAGATGCATTCAAGGTGGAAGATGTATGTTGTCAGATAACATGAAACAAAAGAGCAAAAAGAAACTCATTGCTGACTTCGACACTGTTTCATTATATCCTTCAGCTATAGCAAGACTTTATACTTTAGAAGGTATTCCAAAAGTATTGAAGGATGAGATGTTAAGCACAGAGTATCTCATGAGACATTTATTCGATGATGACCAAAAGGAACCCATTGGTGAAAAGTTTATGTCTGGCTTCTTTGTTCTCATTAAGATAACAGAGGATTGGTATACCCAGACACTTTCATTTAATAGTTTGCGACCCTGAACTAAATCCAGAACTTAACGTTCCAAGAAGTTCAAACACTTGCTGTCTCATGTATGTTGACCCATATAACATTACAAGACCTCATAAAATATCAAGCGTGTCAAATGTGAAGTGTTGCAAGGATTACTATTACGATGGAAACAGAGATATGAGAATAAGAGATGAAGTAAAGAAGTTGTTTGAGTTAAGGTTAAAGTATAAGAAAGAGAAAACCCCTTACGAAGAAATTATAAAACTCATTCTGAACAGCATTTATGGCAAAACTATTCTATCTCCTATTGAGTCAAAAATAACCATAGTAAATGACAAAGATGCTATAAGATATGCTATAAGAAATTACAACCATATAGTGAAGTTCGAAGGTTTGGATGGTTCAGATAAAACTATTTTCAAGCTAACGAAAAGCATTTGCAGACACTTTAACTTCTGTCCACTTGGTGTTAATATTCTGTCTATGTCAAAACGTATTATGAATGAAGTATTCTGTACTGCGCAGAGGACATGGGACTTCAAATCTTTTACCAGGATACCGACAGTATGCACTTATATAATGAAGACATCCCAAAGCTTGCAGCAGAGTTTAAGAAGAGATATGGTCGCGAACTTATAGGAAAGAACTTGGTCAATTCATAGCGACTTTGCAGAAATAACACCTGGAAAACAAGTTTAGCTTATAAAAGTATTTTCTGTGGAAAGAAGACCTACATAGACTTACTCACTACGATTTAAATGAAGTTGCATTTCACTGCAGAATGAAAGGCGTGAAGCAAGATGTTATTGCTTTAACCGCTAATGAAATGTTTCCTGAAGCTATACAATGCTATTACAATGAAGATAAGAACATTCACATACCTGTTGGAACATATGACAAAGACTCTGAGTTCAGTTTAATGAACTTTACAAAGCACTTCATGATGGTCAAGAGATTGCATTCGACTTATGTAAGTCATGTCAACCTTGCTTTGCTGAAAAGTTCAACTTTTCAATAACGACTAAAACAAGCTTTATTCGTAAGTTGAAGTTCTGAGGTCATTTATTTTTGTCAGCAATGAGGTCATGAATGAGGTCATGAATGAGGTCATTCGTGATAAAAATAAAGCTAGCGTAGATTTTACAATACTGCGATGGTAGAGTTTAAGAGTTGTGCTTCAATGTAGAGACAGTCCTTATGGTCTGGAGGCAAGAACACTGGACATTTATGGTCATGAGTGGAGAACATGTCTATCCAAAACTCACGATTGAAGCCAGTTAATTTATAGTATTTAGGGTTAGGAAGTGGTGAAGTTCTTGTATGACCAATGAACTCATTTTCAACTCCTTTACTTAAGTTTGAATATAATATAGCTTGCTTTCTATCCCAAATGCCAGGTGTTACAATCTTTGAAAATTCATTTTTCCTCGGAAGCATTGCATCATAATTGAAAACATTCTTAAAATCATCACTTGGTTCGGAGATTTGAAATCTTATACGTAATGGATTTTTTTTCTCTTTAGCGACTTCATTGAATGGTGAGAATACAATGAATTGACAGTCATGAGTTCCATCTTCATTTTCATTAAATTCATAATGAAAGTCTATAAGTTGTGGCTGACTACCTTCTTCTTTCAGTTGTGCAAGAAACTCACGTAAAGGCTGTAAAGTTTGTACTTCAATGTTGAACTTTTTCTCGAACATCTCATTAAATGAAATCATACATTGCAACAATGTTGTATCGTCTTTAAAGTATTTGTATATGTGAATGTTTTGGGCGCTTAAAGACTGTTCGTCATTTTCTATCTCGACTTGAAGTATAAAGTCAACCTTTCTGAAAGCACGTGTTATATACATAGATGTTATGCCAATGTACTTCTCTTCATTTATGTTCACAATCCAGTCTGTTGGAAACTTAAACGTTACTCTGTTCCCCTTTATTTTGACGTCAGGGTTTTCACTACTGAACGCAACAGATAAAGGTATTTGTCTATACATTTAGTTCGGATAAAAATAAACCATTTACTCTTTCTTTGCTTCAGCTTCTTCTCTAGCTTTCTTTGCCAGCAAACGTGGGTTCTTTTGTCTTCCAGCAGCTAATGCAGCAAGTTGTTTTTCACTAAGTTTTCTCTTTGGTCTCTCTGGCTTTTGTTCTTGTTTTTGTTCCTTCAGTTCGGATAAAATTTGCTCACGAATTTCTTTCTTCAATGCTTCAACATCTATGACACCTTGGGTCTTGTCCGTAGGGCTTGTCTGAGTCATTTGATTGCAGATAAAAACAAAATTAAAACTTTAACCGATGTAAAATGAGCTTGTCAAAATCAGAGCGAGAGTCTATATATATTAAATGACGCAAGAGGAATACAACATCCTTTCTATTACGTAAGTCAGAGTAAAGATGGTAAAATATACGTAAGAAAAAGAAAGGTACCATTAGCGAATGCAGAGAGCGACAACATTAAGGTGCATGGCAAGGGTGAAGTCCATGAAGTCCATATAAAACCTTCTGTTCAAACTGAGCCACCAAAAAAACAAGAAGAAAAGAAGCCAGATGTACTTTCAATAACGAACCAAGAGCTTATTGCAAAGTTCGTGAATTTCATTGAAAAAAACCGAGTCAAAGAACCTGACCCGCCAGTGAAAGAAGTTGAGACAAAAGAGAATGTACAGTTCATTGAAAATGTCAAGAAACAACTTCCACCACGAATGCCAAGAAGAAGAGTGAGAATAATGAAGTAAATAGATATTTTTATCTAAGAAGTAAATGCAGAGAACGAACAGCGAACTTTACTCCAGCAGAGCATATTCATCAGATTCGCTCATATTTCGATATCATAGACAATGCAGTTCAAATTGGTGACACTAATAGAAAATATTCTGACGCAAAGATTCCATCACAACCTGGAACTGCTAAAGATAACACATGGGTAACATTCAATCTCTCACCTCCTGGTGAAAATATGTTGGACCTTTACAATACATTCATTACGTATAAAATGGAAGGTCAATTTATTGTAGATAAAGAAATTGGTTCAGGTTCCAATAAAACAAACCCACCAGGATTTTGGATTGGTTTCGATGACGCTTTCTATGCAGTTGCTGGATATCAAATCCTTGCAAATGGTCGTATCGTATATTCTCAAGACAACGCAAGAAGAAGAAGCATATATAACTTCAAACTCACAAACTACCGAACAAATAAAGAAAGTAGATGTTTTCTCAAAGACTCGACATGAAGATGTATGGAGTCATTCGGGAACATGCAGAACAGGACAAATTGTTAGTGGTCCAATTACAGCGAAAATCATTTGATTTTAAGCTTCGTTTAAGAATTCCTGTTAGAAAGTTTTTACCATTAGAAGCTATAAGATTTATTCCAGCTTTTGCAGGAAACATTCAGCTTAAAGTAAAGTTCAGTAGCGACGCCTTACAATGCACATCTATATCTGTAAATGATATCATTGCTTTCAATCCAACTCTTAAAGTTGCATTTGCTTCAGATTCAAATCCACCGACAAATAAATTTGTTCCATGGAATGAACCATTCACTATGATAACGAAGGCAGTAGAAGCTAGTGGAACAGTTACTATTACAACTGTAACCCAGCAACTATTTCGAACAAAGATGGATTTTAATGAATGTTTTATTCATCCAAAGTCATTCTCTTTAGACCCTAACATTTATACAGAACTTGTAGAACATTATACAAACGAGGCTTTATGTTTTCCTGTTAAAGTTATGGATTGGATTCCTATGGACGGTTCATTCTCAAAGAATACAGATAGTTCAAGTGCAACATTTACAGCAGCTTATACGCCTATTAATGTTAAAAGTATTTGGGCACTATTTAGAAAGAAAGACAACTATTATGTTAATTTTGAGAACCCTAAGTTTAAATATCTTCAGCTTTCCATGGGAGCTTATGGAAATATGCCTGCAGAACCTGAAAAATCATATGGACCTGTATTTTATGAAATGGTTGCGAACGCTTGCAATACAAACAATGATATGATAGGATTTAATGAAGATGTTATGAGGTCATTGGTGGATGATGGTAGTGTGGAACATAAATGGGATAGCTATGACAACACACATTTCTTATGTGGTTTTCCAACTGAAGTGGACTTTTGCTTCCAGCAAGGTCAAACATCTACTGCTCCAATAACATACAAATTGTCTGTTAAAGGACCTATTAACTAGCAACTGAAAATGTACCAAGCCACTTATTGGATTTATGAGGGATTGTTGCTTTGCCATTCAGGTGCGTGCTAATGGCATCCCCATAATAAGATTAGATGACTATAACTTAGCTACGGACGACAGTGAGGAATAAAGGATGAACGTTTATTTTTAAAGCTTATAAATGAGTTCTTCATCAAGCTCTCGCGAACCTTCACCATCTATGAAACAAACTTTACCAAACGATTATGGAGCACCTATTGAATATTTCTTACGAGCTGCACAATGGCAAAGAGCAGTCTCACCAAGGTTAGGTGTTCCACCAGCTCCTGTCAAAAATAGCATTTGGTCAAGTCCTTATATAAGATATGGTCTCCCACTAGGTTTGCTAGCTACAGCAGGAGCAGTTATGATGTTGAAAAGAAATAAAGCAAATGTTATAAATAATACTGAAGTAGCTGAAGTTAAACAAACTCCAACACATTCGCCAAAACCAACGCCTTCACAAGCAAAACCTTCAATAACTCCTGAACCTATGGAAGTACAAACTCCTGTTCAAAAGTCAACTCCTAAACCGACTCCAACATTTAAACCAGAACCCACGCCTCAAATAAATCGTAAAACTCCTGCGTTTCCTTACTGAAAAAATAACGTTATTTTTATTTAATATTAAAATTTTTATTTGATTGAAATGACGACTAAAGTCACTGAAGCAATGAAACAAAAGTTTTTGGTAGAATACATTAAATCAGGAACTATTCCAGAAGGTTTTTACATTCATACTATGAAGGATGGTAGAGTTCAGTTTAGAAAGATAAAGCAACCATTAGATAAAGAAGGAATTTTGAGAAAGATTAAACTTCATGAGGACAACATTGCTGAACTTAAGAAGAAGTTAGAAGAGTTGGAGAAAGGAAGAGAGTTATAAAGTAATGAATTCAACGGGTGAAAAAAGAGGTGAAAAAAGAGGTGAGATCTCACCACTTCACCTAAATTTATTTTTGTGCTATGTTTTCATACGTGTGAGGGTGGTGATATCATTTATTTTTAAGTTCATTTTTTATTTTACTGAAAATTTTTATTTGGATGTAAATGACAGAACAAAAGCAACTCATACAAATCGAAAAATATAACAAACATACATTTAAACATTTATTCTTCCTTCCTGAGCATAACATGTTCTTTCAAATACATCCGAGACCAGTTGACTTTTCATTGACTGTGTATAAAGATAGAAATAGTTATATCATTAAACCATACGATGACGAAGGTAAGTTATGTAAATTGTACGTTAAGAAGTTAGAGAAAGTTTATGGCTTCAAGTATGACTACAATAGGGTTAACACTGATGATGAAGATATTGAGGAAAATTTATGAGAACATTAGTGAAGTCGTTAGTGAGAACGATAGTGAGAACGTTTATTTTTTACATTAGTGAGTTCGTTAGTGAAGTGGTTGGCGGCTTTGTAAATATTTAAGATTAAGTTAGTTTTTGCGTTCATGTTGTAAAATATACGTTAACGGTTTTGTAAAGTGTCAAATTCATATATAATGGGTAAGGAGCGCACAGTGCCACCATACCCAAGACTTGTATACTAACTATTAGAAGTAAGACGTTTCCAGCACAATTCGAATTTCTTTTTGCAATGGAAGCCATCTTGATATTCAACAGCATCAGGAAAATGCTTATGAACAATATTACGGGATTTATTATCCCTATCATGGCAAAAACCGTCAACAATACCTTTTCCCACCGTATCTTCCAAAATTTGAAGAGCCTGATCAGCGGCAACAGATTCCATTTGGCATGAGGCACCAGTATAATTTCCAGCTTTACCTTTACGAGATCTAACGATTACGAATTTTGCCACAATGTCACCTTTAGGACCCATTGCTACAAACTCACACTCGTCTGCATTTCTAACATGCGAGAAATGAGCATCGATGGTGATAACAGTTCCAGGCTCAAGTTGCAATGCATGATTTTTTACACTTTTTTCAGCTAATTCCTTCGCTTTCTCGAGAATCACCTTTTGAATCCTGTAAAAGTATTGTGACGATGGTACATCTATACCAGCCTCTCTTAATAAGTTACTTGCTTCTTGATATGTTTTACCGCAAATCAAAGTGGCAAATGTAAATGATTTGCCATCTAATTTAATTAGATCACCGAATCCTTCATATTGGACGCGAATAATCTCAGAATTTGTGGCGTCATGTACCTCCTGTGATGTCATTTGTCAGTTTTTTGTTTCTTCACTTCTGAATACGACACCTTGAATTATGGGTTTATTTCTAATAATTTACAATTTACTAACAGTATTCTTTTTGGGGATACTGACATTCAACGTAAAAACGAGAATGTTTCGAAATAATAAAAATTTAATATAATATTAAGTCATTTTTAAATATTTATGTCTCAACCCTGAATGTTTATTCCCCTAAAAAGAGATTGCCATAAGTCTATGGAAATTGACCATAAATAACTTAGAGCTATGGAATAAATTGATTTTAATGTATTTTTTTTTCTAGAAAATATCTTTTTTAGAGTGAAAATATAAATTGTTGGAATTTTCCTTACCATATTATTGTAATACAATATAGACAGATGCTTTATTCTACAACAAAAAGGCCAGAATCGATTTTTTGTCGAAATCTTAAATATAATGAAACAATAAAATCTTAATTATATCCATTATGATTTGAATATTTAGAAGTATAACAAATGATAAAAATATTCATATGAAAATCAATGATGTATTCTATGTTTTTTAACTAGAAATGATATCAGTGAAGTCATGTGTCAGATTTTTGTTGACTCGACCTTTAAAGAAAAGTTTGTTTTTCCTTCAATATATAAATAGGATATTTCACAATTAACAAATAAACTATTTTCAATGTTGGAAAAAACAACAGCACCGTTTGTATGCATTTTTGCATTGGATATCAAAAAATATGAAATTGAGACTTTTTCATCAAATAAACATTCTGAATCTAAATTTGTTACATTAAAATAATGGTGGAATAAATAATATGTGGAAATTGGGTGATACTTACAGATACCACAATTGATAAATAAATTTTCGAAATTGGAATTATTTTGATTTACCAATGTTAAATAATATGCGTCACCAAAGCTTGCATGACAATTGACAAAACATGATTCTGTAAAATAAGCATGATCTCCAACTAACGCGCAAATTGCACTTCCATTTGTATCATGTGTACTGTAGGAATTAGCTATGTATGATTCAAAGATACAATTTGATATATTGAGTTGTTTATTAGCCTTATTTAAATAAGAAATTGCAGCTCCATTAACCAATGATGATAATGATGCAAAAATACACCTGTAGATGTTTACAGAATCGGTATTTGACTTTATTCTATGTAAAATAGCAGTGTTCTCATATGAGTTGATTTTTTGAAATAAAAAAAATATTTACAACTATTCAAAAATTTTGAAAATTGTATCGTTCCTGACCGAAATCTTTTGCAATTAGGATCATGGCAAGCTCCATTCAAATTTCATTCACAATTTTAAATTGAAGGAAATTTTTCTTCCACTCTGAAAACAATTGAGAGAGACAATGATTGTTAGAGAAATATTGATTTAACATGTAAATCTTTTATTTTATTCTGATTTTTATTTTAACAATAATATATAAATTGAATTTCAATTAATTTGATCGTCCTAATGCATATAAGAGCCAAATTCATTTGATCGGCATCATATATTACTCTTACAGATTGTAAATAATTAAATAAAACAAGAATTGTTTATAAACACAAAAAAATGCAAAAAAAGTGAAATTCCCTATTATTTCTGTGAATTTGCCTTTATTTTGTTGAGCACATCAGAGTTCACAAGAACTGTGTCCTTTTTATTATCTGGGAGGGGAATTTCGAACGTGTAATACTGTATTTCGTCGTTTTCGCTTCTTTCGACCGAGTTTGGCGCCAAATTTACTGGTTTTGGATTTTTCAGCTCTTCCTTCAGCATGGCGAAGAACTCGCTCTCCTGCTGCGCGCACTCCATGTAGAACTTGTGCAGCTTGATGAGTCTCTCTGTTGGGATCTCGGATGGAACCAATTCAGCCTGTGTTTCGCGCTGATTCTGTCCGAAATTCGAAGGAGTCCGCTGTATCTGAAGGAGGGTTGGCTGAGTTGGCGGATTTTGGTTGATCTGCGGCTGAGGAGGGTGGTTGTGGAAGTGCTGCTGGGCTGTGGAAAGCTGAGATGATAGAGCTGTCTGTCTTTGTTGGTTGAATTGCTGGAAAACTTGCTGGTTTTGAGGAAATTGCTGGTAGTTCTGTTGAGTTGTAATGGACTGGTTATATACAGAAGGTTTTGCATAGGCTGAATAGCTCTGCTGCATTGGATTTGTTTGCATCTGAAGATTTTGCGGAATTTGAACCTGATTTTGAGCTATGGCCATGGAAATTGGCTGGGTAACTGCAGTGTGTGGCGCTGTAGGTTGCATCTTCACTTGCTGTGCCTGTCGAATGAATTGAAGATATTGCTGCTGGGTTGTGAAGGTAAGATTTTGCCGCATCGGAGCTGAGCTCTGTTTCTGCATGTTCTGCTGAGCGTTGATCGCGTTTTGAGGAATAGAAACTTGCAAGTTCTGATTTACTGGTTGTTGAGTAATGGTTTGAACGGAGGTATTGTAATTTTGTATTTCTGTACTAGAATTCTGATATGAAGTCGCTGTATTTGTTGATTTTTCTGAAATAAAATTTCTAGTGCTTTGATTTTCAGAGTATTGTGGTTGATTAGATACAGTTTGCGATGTTTTGCCTCCTGTACTAATATTTTTATCTGTAGATGAAGCTAATAAATTATCTTTTGAAGAATTCTGAATTAAATTTCTTGAATTTGCAATATTTTGATTTGTGTATGTTGTGGTACTCGCTGGTTGCTGGTTTATTTTATTACTTTGATCATTCGAGTGAGAGAAATATTTTGCTCTGACTTGATGGGTTAATTCTATGCTGACAGCATTCCGGATGTCTTTGTTATCAGATCTCAGAATCATAACGCTCTTCCAATAATCAATTATAGGGCCTTGTTCTAATTGAGAAGCTTCTTCTTCAGTTATTTCTTTTAATTCGGTTGGGTTCTTGGTCATATCCAAAATTGTATATCTGTAGCAGCCATCAACTAGAGAATGCTTCCAAACTCGATATGTATCCATAAAATACCAAAATAAAAATTGATAAGAAAGTGATCGAGTATGGCTCTGGATATTATTTAAATATATTTCCTCAAATCATGAAAGTGAAAAGACAAAAATCAAGATTTTTTTTTATTGAAGTGGATACATAATAATTAAATATGAGACCTTGTAGTGTGTCTCTTATTTGCCCTTATATTGTCTTATTAAATTACTAAACAACGATTTCGAATTTAATTTTCATAAAAACTATAAATTACATGATAGCTTTTAAAATTTAATATTCAAAAACATATGATTAAACTAAACCACTACATTCAATCATACAATGATATTGCTAACTAAGCAGACTTCAATTGAGATTTACTTTACAATAAACTTTAAATAGGCTCTGATTCTCGGAGGTAACTCCTATGCAATTATAGTCCTTATAATCTATCTCCCATTTTCAATCGAAAATCAGAGGGAAAAAAAAGTAAAAAATTTTAGTTATTCAAAATCTTTACTTAAAAAGTCCAAAATGGAATATTTAAGCAACTGGTGTTTGATCTGAATATTCGGAAGACATTTCCTTATTTTCATTGTCTTCATTGTTTTCCTCCTTGGGATGAAGTCTCTTGTATGCTAAAATTCCGACTACAACGATGATAATAGCAACAACAAAGATGCCACATCCTATTGCAAATCCAATTTTATTCTTCCTGAACCATGCTTCAACATTACCCCATCTTTGTTCATTCAAAGCTTCATCTTCATTTGTTTTGATATCTTTTCTGATTGATTTGCGAACATTACTATCAAATTGTTTGGGACCAATGTCACTTAACTGCCATGAATTTTTATCCATTGGATTTTTACGAAGCATCATTTCGCTTAGAATAACTGAACGGCAGAATCTTTCTGGATTAACGCATTTGACTTTCCTTTGGATTTTTCCATTTATATGAATATTGAAAACCTGATTAATGTTGCTTGATGTGCAAGTTACTTCTTCCCAGTCTTTTCCTGAAGTATCTTTATTCACTTTAATTGTGAATTTCTGGTAACTTTCGCAATTGTATTCTCCGCATAAAGTATTTTCATTAGGTTCAGTTGTCGGAAGTGTCGCTGTAGAAGATGGGCATGTGTAGTTTGGATTAACAAATGGAATATATCCAAACGATTCACTGGATCCAATAACACTTTTTCCTTGCTTGTTATAGAACTCAGGCTTGTCGCAATATCTCACATCTGGATTTGGACAATATGGAGTTTGCATTGTTGATGTGGATCCGAAATATTTGAAATTAAAGCCGGCATAGAATTTGTCATTAGAAACTGGAACGTCAGCATTATAATATTCAGGATATTGTTGTGGATCTTTTGTTGCAAAATCATCAATTAGATTTGAATCAATCGATTCCATATCACCCCAAACGAGTGGTTGGGCTTTCTTCCAATCAGCCATAAAGTTACCTGTATCATTAAGAATTGCAAGAGATGCAGCAGTTAATCTTGCAAATCTCAATCCATCAGGAACAAGCATCTCTTCAGTCATTAATTCAGAGAAATATGAGTTACCAGCCAAATGGCTATCCATAATTCCTCCATGATCATCGAATTCAATACCTGCTTTGCACTTTTGTCCATTATCACCATAGAATTCATCTGTTCCAAAGTGTTTCTTTGCCCATTCATTAGAGGCTGGTGTTGTCAAGAAATGATATTTGCGACCATTCTTAGTTAAGGTGCAAATTGGATTTGAATGGCGTATTGGATTGTTCCAAAGGTGATACTCATTAAATAAGTCCTTATCAACCCCAAAAATATGGAAAACTTGATGAACAATACCTTAGAAGAAAGAATTGTTACCTGTGTTATAATTTTCATACTTGTTTGGTATTCTTCGTGTGTTAATAAAAAGTTCGCCTCCAAGTGTTCTTTTATATAACTTATCTCTGACAGTTGCAACACCAAATGCGTAAGAGTCATCACCTGGAGGAAATGCTCTAAGATGAATATTGATGATCATGTCTCCATTTAGGTATCTCAATTCACCTTTATAATTTGTATCTCCTTCAATATTTTTATAGAAAACACTTCCTGGTGGTGAATATTGTTTTAATAATCCCGAAATGAATTTTCTTACCCTTGTAAGCGTCATTCCATATGCAATTCTTTTTTCAGTTGTTAATATGGAATCCTTATCGCAAGTAACTGGAATTCCTCTGAAATAAATTTGTTGTCCAACTCTCTTGCATTCATTAATTTCATCGCTCGTTTCAACGTGTCCCATGTAAAATGTGAAATAAATTCCAGTTGGATATAGATTAGAAGTATATGGTATATCCAATTCATCTGCTACGATTCCCTTTTTGTATTTCTCATAATTGCAACGACTCGAGCGGACATATTTTTCTGTGGTTTATCATGATTGACATTTCCACCTGTTGGCTCGACTGGATTAACTGGTTTTGGTGTCGGTGTTGATTCCGATATTGGCTGATTTCCTGATGAAGATTCTGGTCTCTCACGTGTAGGATTGGTTGGATATGATGGATTTTTGGTTGGCTTTTCAGGAGCTCCATCATATGTTATTTTATAATTTCCTGTATCATCAAGAACAGAAAGAGTTGCTTTTGTTAACTGACTTGATGCTGTAATGTATGATGCCATGATTTCATTATTGAATGTATCTCCAATAAGATAACTTCCAAGAGAATCTCCGGCTTTATTTAATTCAAACTCAATTCCCGATTTACATGATGAAGAGTCACCAGAAATTGTATCTCCTAATTGTAAAACTTCTTTTGCATATTTATGTGCATTTGGCGTGATCAAATAAGCATGCTTCTTACCATTTTTAGTAAGCAAACATTTATACTCTGAATGTCTTAAATTTGTGTTTTGTTGATGATATTTTTCAAAGAGAACGGAAGAAATGCCCAAAGAATGAAGAACTTGTTGTTTAACTTCGGCATAAAAATTGCTTTTTACTAATTGATCTTCACCTTGATATGACGGAACATATCTTGGATTAAATATCATTACTCCAGAAATTGGTCTGTTCGAGCCTTCTTCAAATACATTTATAATGGATTCTGCACTGTTTCATCTTGATCTTTAAATGGCCTTGAAGCAATAATCAAATGAATTGTATTGGCATTGATTTTTTGAGCTTTTCCTATTTCTAATATGCCATTAATATTTCTGTATTCTAATGAGGCGATTTTTTTAATTAGAATGAATTTCTTTAATTCTGTATTGATATTGTACATTGCAGATCGCAATGAAACTACTTGCATATTTGATAAAACTTGATTTTGATTGCATATATACTCTTCGCCTCTAAATGTAATCTTTTGACCAGGAGATTTGCAAGTCATTCCATCGTCTAAGTAAGCAGCATAATTGAAATCGGAATCTATTTCTAGAGGTATCCATTGGTTATAATTTTGAGTGCTCACGTGATGGAGTTGGATATTCTTCATTACCTGTTCATTGTTGCTCTTATATGATTGTCCAAAGGTTACTAAAGTAAGAAGGAAAGACATAAAATGAATAAATTATTCAAAATATTTTCAATAAATCATTAAATTCACGAATAGTTGTGAGTTTTTAATTTCTGATTTTTCTTTTGATAAATTATTTGAAAGATCAGATTTTGAATCGAAAAATAAAGACATAAAATTATGATTTATATTGTATCTCTTATTTAATTAACTGGTTAAGATAAAAATGAGTGAACGTTTCATGATTTGAAAGCGTATTCAATTCTATGATGCTTCAGAAAAATTGAATTGAATTTGATTTTTTATATATTTAATAGTTTATATTTTTCAATTACTATGTGACATTTTAAAAATAAATGTGGTTAATAAAACTGAAAGAAATTCCTTCCAAAAAAATTATTATTCTGTAATCAACGCCAGATCTCCATCATATTGTATATAACTACTAATAATACTATAAATAAATGAAAAGTATAGTTTTTCTCATAGAGAAATTTAAGAATATTTTTAGAATCCTAATTGTTTGGGGAAATCTTTAGTTCCTTTTCTTCACTATGAATTTTAAAAGAAGATTTGTCGAGAAAAATATATTTATTTGGGTGAAAATTAATAAAAAATAATTTTTCGAAAGCATATAAAGTGACTTGTTTAATAAATATTGATATTCTCCTTATTCTTGTTTAAATTTCGTCGAAGATAGATATTATGCATTAATTTTGATCAAGATAACGTTATCACTTTTTACTTGATCCGATTTTAAAAAAAAATATAGCTTGTATATGTTCTTATGAATGCTGTTTTTAGCGTTAAGCACTTTTCAAAACATTGAAATCCCTAGAGAAGTGTGCCATATTCAAGGAAAATAGGCATCATATCAAATTCTCCATCCTTAGCTTGGGGGCGTTTATAAATATATTTCGTATTTGATATTCCTAGACATCCGCGGGTACCTAGATTTCAAGGATAATCGATCTAATATATGACTGCGTAGAATTGGATGGTTTGCATATTATCATCTACCTGATACAAAATTCGATGTTTTTTCAGATCTAGTACAATGTATTAATTTATAGGATAAACTACAACCATTCATGTATTGTATAATATCTTTGAATATTACTTAAGAGAAAAATTGCTTCATTACTTTGCTATCTAATAAAAAGATATTAATAAAAACATATTTTCCTATAGTTGGGTATAAATGAACAATAGAATAATATGTTTAAAAGGAAAAAAAAAACACATCGAATTTAAAAATATGATCATAATAAAATTTTAGATTTAGATTTTGTTGTTTTATGTACAGCTGATCATAAAGGATCAAGAAATTTAGTGATGATTTTCCTAAAATCTTGGAGTGCACAAAAAAAAATAATAAAAATTCTTAAAAATGGATCCATTGACAAATGCGTTTGCAAACAATCTTTATTCGATTAAAGAAGTAACTCAGGATTCTCTGAAGTCCATTTTGGAACATTGTATCGCTAATCCTTCCCCAGAAAATTTATGGACACTTTCAAGATTTATACAATTAGCACCTGCTTCAGTATTAAAACCCAACATTGACAAGATTTCCAAATTAACTATACCAAATCGCCAGAAAATGTTATCGGCTTCGTTCGCTTCTTCACATTTAATAATGAGATCTGATGAAATTGGCCAAACAGACGCCTACAAATGGGTAAAGAGCATGCCATGGCCTACAAATCCCCTCCATGCATCATACATATACAATATCATCGCTCGTCCTTCATTCTGTTCTAGTTTACCAACTATATGGAGTTTGCTTCAATCAAGTAACGGAATGATTCAAAAACATGCTGCTGGAGCCATTGCAAAGTCAGCCAAGAGCCCAGCGAACTTTCTTCGCAGAGTTTTAGCAACAATCACTCCTGATTCGCCGCCTGATGTTCAAAGGCTGGATATACAAAATCCTACGCCTACTCTTGTTCGTGGCTTGATATTAATTGCTGGATGTTTGACACAGCATCAAATTTCTGCATCAGAATATTCAAAACCACTGCTTGCAGTTATTTCAACAGTTCCCAACACAAAATCGGAAAAGGATACAGCTATTCTTGCTCAAGAACTGCTTTCGAGAGTCATTGTTCAACAACCTTCAGCTTTTCATACAACAGATTTTTATTCCCCCGCATTAGTCCAAATACGTCAGAATAATTTATCTCCTACCTTCTTACAAGCTATTTTAGCCGTTTTTGGTCTTTCTGCCGTTAGAAAATTTGTTGTTCCTTTAATTCAGAGATGGATTGACAGTGTTAAGACATCTTTATCGTATTTAGAAGTTATTGCGCCATACTCTGGATTCTTACCTCCGCAAGTTCAAATTGAAATTCATTCTGCGCTTATAGAGTTACTTAAGAAGAAGCCATATGATAGAAGGCTCATAGATATCATTTCATTGTACATGGAGAACTCCCATCCATCAGAATCTCCGTATTTCAGCACATTTATAGAAATTATCAAAGAATATCATGGAGAAACAAGTATTATGTCATTCTTACATCCACTTTTCGAGCCAAAGAGTGAACCAGTCAGACATCCTCATAGAAAAGTCATGATTGTTCCTCAAATCGAAATGAAAGAAGCATTCGTTCAAGCTGAGGTTCCAAAGAGAAACATTATCATTCAATGCGATGTGAAACGCGATATAAGACCGATTTCTCAGCCAAAATCAGCATTTGCTGTACAAACAAGCAAATCCGAAATAGAAAAGCCAAATTTCGTAACAGCAGCAGAGAAGATTGCCTCCATAAAGGAAAAGAAAGTTGAACCTGAACCTGAAATTGATATTGATATAGATATTAATATGGATTCACCTGATAATACTGATGATGACTCTGATGAGTAATTTTTACTTCTGTAGAATATTTGTAGATATAAAATAAAGATTATAGAGATTATTTTTAGATTAGAAAATTTTTTTTTTCAAAAATCGAAAAGGATATTTCCTGAATGATTCTTTCCAGGCAAGTAGAACCTATTCAGACTTATTCAAAATATAAAGATGAAATTACTATCAATTCATATGGTGATAGAAAAAGGCTAAATAGATACAAATTAGAAAAATATTCTGTTTTAGTTAAAAAGTTTCCTCAAGGAGTGGACGATTACAATCTCAAATGCGAGTTCATTGATGGTTTTGAAAAATTTATTGATGAAGACCACCCTTTAATAGTCAACATTGATAACGTCGAGAAAATTCATAAATTTGCACTCGAATTACGGATACCATTAATAATGGAGATAACAACACCATTTCTCATCTTTCTAAAAATAAATTCAGATTGTTTTACTCAATTGAGCTCTGACAACGGTGAGCTCGTTAATAGTGCTTATTCTTTCTTGGCTCATTATTTTCCTTTAATTTACTTAACTCCTCAGTTTAAAAATATGACTGAACGACAATTTATTAATTTACTATTATCTGACGATTTCGATTTGAGATATTTAGATTGTTATTTTCGTGCTCTTGATATGTTGTGCAGTGGATGGAATGATGATCGAATAATTGAAATATTAAAATTGATTTCAAGGAGAGGTAGTATTACAAGAACTACTTACGTACAGTCAAAACAAATTACTAATCAAAATAAGTATAAAGACTATTTACCATCCATTATATATTCAGAGCCAGCTGACTTTTCGTATTTATGGGATGAATTTTCAAATTCTTTCTCTCCAGCAGCATTCACTGAGAAAGAAATCGAATCTTTTTCATGATGATTTCATGGATTAAAACCAATATTTTTAATTATTGACCATTTCTGCGATACTAATGTTATTAAGATTGAGGGTTTATATAGCGGATATAATTATCCAGATAAAATTGGGATCGATATTTACAGGATTGATTACATATTCTTGGAAAAGAATGATGTTATAGCTTCATTTCCTAATTAATAAAGTTATTTGTTGGTGCTTAGATTAATTGTATATAAGCTTTTAAACAACGCGAAGAATTAATAAAGAATTATGAATTATACGAAAAATATAAACATTTTAGATCTAATATTAAAATAATTATGCCATTAGTTTGACATAAGTCTCTTCCTTCTCTTAGCATTTAGAGAAAGGATTAAAGAATTGGAAACCATTGCAATAGAAAGTGGTCTGATGATCTTTTTAGTGCCTTTCTCTATCTTTCCTCTAATCGATTTCATTATGTCTGCAGATGTTGGACGCTTAGCAGGGTCTAAGTTTAGACAATCACGAATTAATTTCTTGAAAAACAAATCTGGAATAATTTCTTCATTGTACCAGCAGTTTACAATACTTTGGTACATTGCCTGCTTGGAATCTGTGACCCAAGGCCATTTATGCGTCAATAAGTAATATAAAGTTACTCCAAGAGCCCAAATATCCGCAGCATAAGCATCAAAAGGTTGCTTTGATATGATTTCTGGGGAAAGGAACATAAGAGTGCCAGAATAAGCAGTAGAGTTTTCATCTGGAAGACTTCTTCTTGCAAGACCAAAATCGCATATTTTAACTCGCCCATTCTGATCGATTAGGAAATTTGATGGTTTGATATCGCCATGTGTAATATGATTTTCGTGGCAGGAATTTACTGAAGCAGTAAGACCTAAAGCGAGTTGATATATCTTTAAAACTGGTAGTTGATTCATATCTGAGAGAATTTTGTCTATAGAATTGGGGCAATACTCCATTAACAAATACACGTATTCTTTGTGATGCCAGTATTTGTAAAGAGTGACAATGCAAGCACTCCTGATTTGAATCATGCAATCGATTTCATTATCATGAAACTGCTCGGCAAGCACTCTTTTAAGTGCAAAGTTCATCTGGTATTGGTGTGAGTAGACTTTGTAGATAACACCAAACGATCCGCGACCAATCGTTTCAACGTAATCAAAACCATAAGCCTGAAGGAAGGTAATATCAACTGCGTCTATCATTATGAAAAATGGTTTTTCTAAGAAAAAAAAATTGAATAAATTAAAGGGAAAAAATGAGGGAACAAAATGAGAAAAATTATAGTAGAATATAAGAACTTGAATTTGATTTTATTGAAATTTTTTGAATAAATATTTTTTGAAGGGAAAAGATGTTTTGAATAGAAAATACAAAAAAAGTGAAGATATTAGCAATATTTATTTGTAGGATATAGAATGAGTAATAAAAATTTGGGAAACATTGAAAAACAAATTTCTGTGGATATTTGGAAAGAATTCTCAAAATATTGAATGAAATTCAAATTGATGAAAAGTAATTATTAAAGTAGATAATTATCAATACAATGTGAATCCGTGAGATAACTAATTGGCTGGTGACTTTTAACCGTGAAAATTGAATAAATTCAAAATAAATATTGCTAATAAGTTGATTACGGGAAATATTTCATTAAACGAAAAGTCATCTTATGATTTTTCTAAATTTTCTAAATTAAGTTTTAATCGTTCAAAATAAAATTTGAATTAAATATCATAATAATATGATCAATTTAATAATTAATAAAGAAATATCAGCAATTTTTATCGTCTAATTGAATCAATAAATATCTTATCAATCTGTATAAAATAGCTTCAACATTTAAAATATTATAACTGATTTTACTATGAAAATGAAATTGAATGGAATATTTTTTTCAACAAACAAATCAAATATTTGGTATATTTCGACTTATTCCTAGCGTACATTTAGAGTTATTTCATATCATAATTTTTCTGATATTCTTTCACAAAATTTTGAATAACTGTTTTAATAATTCTGGTTTCAAAATAAACTATGGCGAAATTTGGGTCGAAGATTATATAGCCTGCATTTATTTTATATAACAACATAGAAAATGTATATAATTCCTTATATATATCATGAAAAGACTCTTTTATAATAATAATGCGTAAAATATTCAGCAAATTGAACATGATTCTATAATAAACTAACACAGACTAATCAATATTAAATTTCATTTCATATAAAATGTTTAGGTTTTTCTTGCTAATTATAGTTATCCATAATGCGTACTTTTTATCTATCTAAGATAATACTTTTTCAAAAAGAAATTTTAAAAAAAAATCTTTTAATCTTGTTGTTTATAACCATTTTTACTTGCCAAATCCATGAATAGTATCTAACAATGAATGGAAACTGTTTTATTTGGCATGGTATTAAATTTGAAGCTTTTGATTCTAAAAAGTATGTTATTACTGAATTAAAGATAATAAATTAATTATTGACTGTTTACTTTGATAATAATTAACGTATAAATAATAATAATAATAATAATTCTCATTAAAAAAAGCAAAGATCATGTCTGGACATTTCTTTTAATATTAATATTTCATGGAATATGACAAATGTATAGAGTATATATTAAAAGCAGTATAATATTAAATTGATATGAAAAATCATATTAATGAGTTGACTGGATACAAAAATACGATTTTCATGCTATCTACTGGCAGTTATTCCTAGAAATGGCCAGTTATTAGAATAAATATAATGAAAAGATAAATATCTATTATTTTAAATGTAATTTTGGTATGAAAGAGCTTAAATTTATATGGATTTAGTGATATGAATATTGTTAACTGTTATTTATTACAAATTTGGAAAGAAAAATTATAAAAATTGAAGAAAAAATTAAAACAATAAGTGTCAAACATTTATTATTAACTGATAATAAAATGTATCTTATTTTGATTGTGTCTAATTGACTCTGTTTTGGATTTTAAAGAAAATTGAAATGAACTTCATGTATTCAAACAGAAATATGATTTTCATTAATTTGAATTATTGTTAAGTACAAATGATACAAAAATAGGTAGATCGGGAAGATGAGGGAAAATTGAAAGTAAATTTTTCAATGTGAAAAAACATCGGTAGAAAAATATGTATAATAAGCATATTTAAAGCATAATAATTTCTCGATTTCATAGGATGGAAAAATTATTAAGAGAGCTCTCTCAAAATTACTTCCGCTACAAACGTATTTCAATGAAAAATTGAGAATAATTTGAAAATTGATATATGACTGGTCGATTTTTTTATTCACATCACTTTCGAATTAGGAATGCTCACATCTGTTAGCCTCCCAGTCCGCAACATCTGCCGCAGCAAGCTCCCAGTCGCCAAGACCGGCATGACCCTCCTTCAAGATGGAGATCTCTCTAAGGGCACAGCTTTCACAAAGGAAGAACGTGATCGCCTTAACCTTCGCGGTCTCCTCCCATACAAGGTCTTCACAAAGGATGAACAAGCTGCTCGTATCCGCCGCCAGTTCGAATTAATGCCAACACCACTCCTCAAGTACATCTTCCTCGCCAACGAGCGTGAGAAAAACTCACAGTCCTTCTGGAGATTCCTCTTCACACACCCACCAGAGGAGACAATGCCAGTTCTCTACACACCAACTGTCGGTGAAGCCTGCCAGAAGTGGGCTACACACCGCCAGTCATACCGTGGCATCTACATCACACCAGAAGATTCTGGCAAGATCAAGGACATCCTCCACAACTACCCACGCCAGGACATCCGCTGCATTGTCGTTACAGATGCTGGCCGTATTCTCGGTCTCGGTGATCTCGGTGCTTCCGGCCTTGGTATCCCAGTCGGCAAGCTTATGCTTTACACACTCATCGGTCAGGTTAACCCAGACCAGACACTTCCAGTCCAGTTAGATATGGGTACAGACCGCAAGGAAATCCTCGCCGACCCACTCTACCACGGCTGGCGCCATCCAAGAATACGTGGCCCAGCTCACACAAAGTTTGTTGAAGAATTCGTCGCTGCTGTCAAGGAAGTCTTTGGCGAGACATGCCTTGTCCAGTTCGAAGACTTCGAAATGGAAACAGCCTTCACACTCCTCGACCACTTCCGCTGGCGCTGCAACTGCTTCAACGATGATATCGAAGGCACAGCTGCCGTCGCTGCTGCTACACTCGCTTCCGCTACACACATGGAAGGCGTTCCAGATCTCAAGAACCAGAAGATCATCTTCATTGGCGCTGGCTCTGCTGCTACAGGCATTGCTAACCTCATCGTTGATATGGCTGTTTCCCGCGGTGGCATCACAAAGGAACAGGCTTACAAGAACATCATCATGTTCGATCACAAGGGTATGGTCCATGCTGGCCGTAAGGATCTCTACGACTTCAACAAGCCATACATGCACAACATGGAAGTCTACGGCTCCGTCCTTGAGGGTGTCAAGAAGTTCAAGGCTACATGCGTCATCGGCGTTTCTGGTGTTCCAGGACTCATCACAAAGGAAATCGTCCAGGCTGCATGCGCTAACTGCGAGCGCCCAGTCATCATGCCACTTTCCAACCCAACAGTCAAGGCTGAAGCTAAGCCACACGATGTCTACCAGTGGTCCAATGGCAAGGCCCTCTGCGCTACAGGCTCTCCATTCCCAGTTGAGACAGTCAACGGCAAGAAGACAATCACAGCCCAGGCTAACAACTCCTGGATCTTCCCAGCTGTCGGCTACGCCCTCGTAACAACACGCGCTCGCCACTGCCCAGGCAAGGTCTTCGAAGTTGCTGCTGAATCCCTTGCTTCCCTTGTTAAGAAGGAAGACCACGATATGGGCAACCTTCTCCCACCACTCAACAAGATCCGTGACTACTCATTCGGCATCGCCCTCGATGTTGCCAAGTTCCTCATCAAGGAGGACCTTGCTACAGCTGTCCCACCAAAGGGCACAGAACTCAAGGACTGGCTCAAGGCTCAGCTCTTCGATCCACAGGCTGAATACGAACAACTCTACTAAGCATTTTATTAAAAAGCTCTCTTATTTTGTTAATTTTGAAATTATTTTCTATCTTAAAGAATGAGTAGAACTATTGTTTAACAATGCCGAATACAGCATTGTCGAAGAAAACCATAAGTCAACTAGTTAGTAAAACAAGTTTTAAAAACTAATATGAGGATAAAATATTTAAAAACCTAATTATTACTCTTCTCATCATAATAACTTACAAATATGACTCATTGCTGTTCATATAGCAATTCATTAATTTCAAAATTGAATATTTTTTGGTTTGAAATTTGTTTATGAAAATATATTTTTTGAATCATCTTGGAAATCATCATTTTATATGATCTGAAATTAAATTAAAGCATTCATTCTGCTCTAAGACACACTTGAAAATTCCAAGAAAAATTCAAAAAATGAAAAATGTTTTTAAAAAATAAGAATTTTCATTGAATCTATTAGATTTTGAATTTTTTTGAAAAGCTGACATGTAGTAATATTGTTAAAATTTTGATTATGAATCTTATTTTAGTGCAAAAAATTAATAATTTTTAATTAAAAAAAATATTTTTATTCTTCAATTTAAAGAAGCCAGCATCTCAAAAATTATGAAAAAATGATATTTGCAATACAATTCTCTATAATTTAATAATGATAAAATTTTAACAACAACAATTAAATAGAATAACAATATCTTAGTGTATTCGTAAATATCTCGTAATGGATACTGTATAGGATGTTAAACATATATGAGTTGAGTTTTCAATTTTCAATTTAAAATGAATTTGACGAAATCAGAGTAATTGTTTAGAAATTGAATACCGTTTAGTAACAGATGATAAATTACTTCTGTAAAATTGCACAATAGTAACGGTATATTGCAAATAAATCTCGAGACAAAAATTGTCTCAGTCGATTTGATGTACGTTTCAACTGTGTATTTGTTACTTGAAATTGATTAAATGTATCTGAGTTTTTAAGAAAAATTATGGTTGGATACTGTCGAATTGAAATTTGATTTTCTAATGTATGTTTCTGTATACGTAATTTATGATCTGAGTTATTTTAGAAGCTTCCATATTACTAGGGATATCTAGAAATGAGGCTTATTGAAATTGCAAAATATAATCATATTATGGATGGTTAATCCGAGTAAATGTCCATCGACAAAGTATAAGTGGCTATGTTCTATTGCTCTGTCCCAATGAAAGCTTGCTTGATCAAATACATAGGGACATTAGAGGTTTATAATTGGCCTACTACTACTACAAAAAATAATAATAATAATAAAACATATATGAGTCCTAATAGATAGTGCTCTGCTAGATCCATTTTAACATTTGAATGAGAAAATTTTATGATATCAGATCATCAATTTCCAATATTTAGAGGTAGTATTCACAAGAATAAATAACACAAACATATGCAATAGAAAAAACTAATACTGGTCGCTCATAAACGACCACTTTAAATTATGCATGTTATCATCATCAATTTCAATAAACTTTCTTCACAATTTTCAAATATCTTTGAAAAAATAAAAAACAGATATTTTCTATCGCAGCGATCTTTTTGAAAATAAGAATTCTGAAAATTTGAGACTATTTTCAAATAAAATTTAGCGTTCAACAGTTTGATTGAACTACGACAAATAAGTTATCCGGAACCACACAGTATTAGCATGCATCTAATTAAAAATTGTCGGCATTTTCATAAAAAAAAATTGCAGATTCAATGAGACAGCCACCTCCCAACTGGGCTATTGGCAATTCGTTCAATAACAAAATCAGCCTGATGGGTGGTATCTTATCAATGATAGTTGTATTGAAGGTAATAGAGCAAGATATAATTTTATTTATAATCGCGTTAGTGCTGATGATATTTTACTCCATTATTGAAACCAAACTCGTTGATATAATGGAAAAAATGACGAACTCAAGCTCATTTTACTTCGAAACTCCTTACTTTTTAATACCATGGGGTCTAGTAATGCTATTATTATCTCTTGCAGGCTTAATAGTATATCACTTCCACAAACAAAAAGACTACAATCTCTTTCTAACATATATCGCTTCATTAGACGTCTCTTTAATAATATTTTGTATCGCGACTTCGCTCAAATGCTTTTTAGTTGGAACGAAAATGGTTAGCTTCAAATATATACGACGTGGCTTTTTCGGAGTTTTTGAAAGATTCTTTGTTTTACTTCGTGGCGTATTATGTACATTTCGCTGGCTCTGCTATTTCTCAAATATTTGGCCAATTCCTACTTTGATGAATTTTATTGCCAGGCCTAAAACTACGAGCTGTTACATTTATATTGTTATGAAATGCATTCTTCTACTTTGGCTGCTTTGGGATCTCGCATTTTCCATACAAAAGTATAGGGTCAACTCTATAGTAGCAGTTAAAGCCGCAGATCCCGAAAAGGTTGTTAATGAATGCGTAATTTGCCTTAATATGCCAGTAGAACCTGTTCAACTTAGTTGCTCACACATATTTTGTTACGAATGTGCCATTAGATGGCTTTCTCTCCACCCAACTTGCCCGATGTGTGCTCAACCGATTGCTGAACAAAAATATATAGAATTTAGCGACGGGCATATTCCTCTTGCTGCTCTTTTAAGCGCATATTAGAATATATATTAATATTATTTTTATATACAAATAATAAAACTTTCTGTTAGTTTCTTTTAATATATAACATATATTTTTTTTTCTCATTATCATAATATTTTTTTTAAATGAGTTCCAAATGAAATTTTTTTTTGAATTGTCAATTTCATAAATACATAAGGTGCACACTAGGTGATATGACATAAAATATAGCTATCCTCTGTATATAAAATTGAAATAATAAAGTTGGAAAAAATAAATACAAACAAAATTTATTATTCTGAAGAAGCCAAGCTTTCAACTGACAAAGTTCCGTAATGATAATGGGATGAAAGATTTTCTGCGGCGGAAAGGTACAGATCTTGTTCAGATTCAGTAAAAATGCACTGTTTTCCGATCATTATCATCGTTAACAACATAAGTATCGCTAAGCAAACGAGAGACAAAATTGCAGTCCGCTCTGAAAACCATCTTCTGCTGTCGTCGCAAATCGGTGGAATAAACTTTGGAATGTAAAATCCATATTCAGCTCTACGTGGCTCATCACCATCACTTCTGATCTTGATTTTGGCCCATCTTGGTGGATTGAAGTCATCTGCAACTAATCTGAAGAAAACTGGCTTTGTGGCATCTGTCGAAATATGCAAGGAGCTATTCCCTGATATGGAACTAAACTCAGTGTAGTTATAATAAATATAAAGTTGATCTTCGTTATCATCTGATTCCATTTCAAGAGATATATTTAGATGACCTTTTGTAGACCAAACCATACATTTGTCGTCGAATATTTGCAGTTTTTTGAATCCTGAATCGTTTTGTGAAAGAATTATTTCATCTTGAAGCTTTGTGGAGAAATAAACTCCATCTGCGCATGATCCAGGAAAGGATATTGATGAAAAAGAGATGTTGCCACCTGTTGGCGTCTTTATCATTGCTGTATAATTATATTTGTCAATAATTTGATAAAAAGGTAAAAATCGAAGTTGAGAACTTTCTTCGGCGCTTCCATCTTCATCAATGGATCCATAATAGACAGTATCATTGTTATATTGACTAAATACTATATAAGTCGGATAATATAAAGGTTTTATACAAAGAGTATCATCATCCTCGGTTGTAATAGTGTATTGTTTTGATCCAATCGGCGTTTCTCTTATACGTGAACAATCTTTTATTGAATAAAATATGAAAAATAATAAATTCATAAAAAATGATAAATTTTGGGGTCCACCCTAAAATATTTAGAACGTCACTTTTTGAATGATATTATTTTTGAACTACCTATATGTATTTTCTAAGATAAATAATGAGAAGAAGCCGTATTTTTCCTTTCTCTACAAGATTTTTCATCTACATGACTACATTCATGATTGATTTTTCATTTTATATATATATAAAAAATACTAACATTATTTTTACTAACAAATAACAAAATAAAGAACAAAGTTATTCTTCCGTAATCTTGTCTACAACAATAATTCTATCCATTGCTTCTCTATATAGCTTCAAACTGTCATTCAAGAGCTGAGAACAGAACGTGGGCGCCCATTGGTTGATAAACTTCATTGCGGAGACAGCGTTTGACGGAGGGGAGACAGAAATTACGCATTGGACGAGAATTACCATTTCTTGGTGCAGAGTGCAGTTGTAGTTGAGCGAATCCAAGCTCTGGATGACATTGTATATATGTTTGACCATATCTAAAGGGTTTGTCATGTACTCAATAAGTCCAAATGTGTTCATCTTCTTGTTTCTGAAGAGAGTCTGGACAGTTGCACGTTTCCTCATTCCGCCAACGATGCAGTCTGGAATTCCAGCCTCGGAAATTGATTTGGAAATAAATTGGTTGCATCTTCTCAAAAATTCGGCATTTGCAGCTTTGTATGAGTTCAGAATCGAGGATGATGAGTAGCAAATATCAAATATGACACGGAGAATGGATTGGCTGATGATTACGCTCGATCCGTCCATTACTCTTCCAATTTGCTCAGTAACTGCATTCGCCAGTTCGTCAATTGTTGTCTTGGCTGCCTCAACAACTCCCATGTTGATGATTGTTGCAGCTGCGTCCAACATTGGAGCAAATTTTGGATTTCTGTTTAAATACTCTTGAACGTAATAGTCAAGAACTGATGGAGCAGAGTATTTAATGGACATATCATACTTGAACATGTTATTTGCCAATTCTCCGATAATCAATTGTTCGTAGTTTGGCGGCTGGAATTTTGTGGCCATATTGTACAGGGCGAGCTTGCAAGCGTGTTTTCGCTCTTTGAGGTTCTTGTATTTGGCGGAATCTGTGATCGCCGTGTTGTTATCGAAAATCAAAATTTTTATATTTGCCATGATATTTGGATGTTGACACAAAAGTCTGTGTATTTCGTTTAGTACTCCCAAGTAGTCATTGATAACTCTCTTCTGGAATTCCCAAATTGCGTTTTCTGACTCCTTATACGCAATTGTTGCTCCGAGTAAGTTGATTTTGCCTGCAGTGAGGAATTTGTTGAGCCTTGGATACTTTGTGGACAAATGCGCCTTCTCGCACTCTACGTATTTGTCCTTTTGCTCCTGAATCAGGTCTTCTATCTGGAACTGGCAGAATTTCTGATCGGACGTGGATATTTCGGTATCGTAGTACAGGTACCTGGCAATGAGTAAGGGGATGTTCAGCTCCTCGAGGCGGGAGTCTGTTTGGGCAGATTTGTAGGTGGTGTACTGCCTCGTTTGGTGGTTTTCTGAGAGAGTGCATGTCTTGTCTTTGAACGGGAATACTTTCAGCTGGATTTTCGAGGAAGAAAAAATTGAAAACTCTTTTTCAAAAATTTCATCTTTCTCGTTGATGATGGAGAAGTAGTCGGCAATAAATGGGAGGTGCTGACAATATGCTTCAGAGGCGTAAATCTGGATAAATTTGTAGAGCCATGGAATAGATTTGAACATTGGAGAAGAAAGAACGGAACAAAGAAGTAAGACCCTACGTAAATACTTGTTCTTTAAAATACAGAACCGAATAAATATGAAAACTCTTCGGATAAACGCTTTCATCCAATCAATAATTTCATCACTTGAATAATCTGAAAGGAATTCAATCAACAAAGTAGCTGCAGACCTCATGAATAGAAAGCTTTGCATTAATGTCCTACAGAGTGATCGTACAACCATTAAATGAGTTAAGGGCGAATCATTGTGAGTTTCCGCAACTAAATCTATCAAAATCTCGAGATCAGTATTACACAGTGGTAAGTGCTTTGATGAATATTTTATAATTTCGTATAAATCAATAATATTAGGAAATCTTGTTAAATAGCGGAGAATTGCGAATCGAATGGCACAGTCACCATCTGCAATTGCAAGTAAGCCGTTAAGTCTGTTCTGTTGTTGATCTCTACTGAGTTTTTCTAAAGAGAAATCGTTGAGTTTCACCAGGCATCGGAAAAATGCGTAAGAGTATTGAACTGGTGCATAAACAATCAAGGCAAGTAATTTTTGATATAACGAATTGAGCATTTGATCCATTAAATTTCCGGGATATTTTTCTAAAACGCGTATAATGAGTTCAGCAACGTTTAATCTAAAGAGAAAGTGTTGGTCACGCAAATTGAATAGTAAAAGAAACGGAACGTATAAATCGAATAATCTATCTGAAAACCCGGGACTTTCGAGGCATTTGATAAATCTTTCATCTCCATCATCAAATAACTTTAATAAAACAACGACAGATAGCTCAGGATCGTCAATGGATAAAGCCATTGTTTGCAAGAAAAAATCATTTGGTGGATCTGGGCAAAATTTATCTATGTATATCATAGCCATGTCTATGTCTTTTATTTTTAGATATTTTCGATAGCTGTATAATTGAACTACAAATTCCGGAAAATCATCATTTGGATTTTCAACGTTTGGATTGTCAACGAGCTTGCATAATGTTTCATGAATATGTTTCCAACAGTTATCCGCATCAATTGTGTAATTTGTATGATTATGTAAAATTGGAGAAAATAACGGCACCAAAAGACTAGCATCATCAGGTGGAAGAATATCAGGAGGATTAGGGTTATCCTCTTCATCATTAACAATACCATTCCACCATTTGAATGCTTCTTCTGCCATTTATTTTTTTTTCAACCATAAACAAAGTTATTTCAATTACTGAAAGATTTGATTTCATTAAGAGTGATATCATTAGAATGAGTGACAAACTTTTATTCAAATCTTTTGGCTGAATTTCTTTCAAATCGATTGATTTATTCGAAAAATTAGCTAATTTAAATTATATTCTTACAAATGTAAATCCTTTTCCTATGCTTAAGGATGTCAATTCGGAAAATTGTTTTCATTTTAGGAGAATATAATTTTCCTTTTCGAAAATTTAAAAAGTGAGACGCGCAGGATTCGAACTTTTTTAAAAGTTGATTTAAATATATTCTAGTGTGGATTCTAATGATAATATCATATTTAAAATAAGAATATACTAGTTTAGGTGGTATAATTTTTTCGATAAATTTGAGAGCATGCACGTTTAGGGCATCAAAAGCGTCAATTCGCTCAGCGAAAGCTGAGCTAGCTTCGTTCTCGAAAGAATAGGGAAGGAGTGAAAGAGAGTGATACAGATGTTGACACATTCATATCATTTCAACAAATTTTGATCAAATTGAAATGCAATGAAATTCAATTCGCTTCATATCCTTCAGTCAGTACATTGACATCCTTCTACATCACAATGATAACTCGTGCATCAATAGTTCTACAATTAACTCAGAAAAAACAAGATTTTTCCTTCCAGCTTACAGCTTTTAAAAAGTTTCGATGATAAAAATCACTCTACTCTTGTTTATCGATATGTTGTGATAGTAGGTAAACGTATTCTTATCGATATTAATAAAAATATTTTTACGAAAATCTGAACCAATTACAGAGTTATTCATAAAGTTTATGATAACTGTAATTACTTCATCTTTGTTTTATATTTGAATAAACAATTTAATTTAATTTGCATAATTTTTTTTAGTTGAAAGACAGGAAACTTAGTTGAGTTTGTATTATTTTTATCGTTCAATTCATTGTATATGTGAGTGATCCAGATATTTAAGATATTTAGAAAAAATTTATTAATTTGATTAACAAATTTTAATCAAAATAGCAAAAATCTATTTGATAGCTGTAAGCAAATAATAATTTCTATTTCAACCAAAATCACTTATTTTCATCTAAACGTATAAAATTGTCAATTTTATGAGAATAAATTTAAAATCTCATGAAATATAAAGGAGAGTAATATTTTTCAATTTTCTTTTTTTCTTTCTCTCAAATATTTTCTATTGGGAATTTTCTTGAGAGGTAGGGCAACGATAGGTCAAAAAGGCTTCTCTGATAGATTTCCTTGCCTTTTGGATATGCTATAATATATAGCCTAGCATGATAGGATATGATGTCAAAAGTTAGAACATAACTTAGGATCTTGAGAAAAATGAAAAACAAAAATTACATAAAAAAAGAAAAATTTTATCTAATTTGTTTTTTTGGACCGAATAAGTAATTTTATTGAATTTCAATACGACACATAGATTTTATTATTAGTAATAAATATAATGGTTTACTATTAACAAGGAACCTAAACTAATGAAAATTTGATTTCAAATATTGTATATGATTATCATAGATTACCAAAATATATTGCTATTTATGAGGATATAATATTGATTATTAGTAAATCGTATAAATTTAATAAATATACCATGAATATTGAATGAATTTCTTGATTCATAGGGGTAAAACGCGCTTTTATATGATTTAGACAGAGAATTTATGAGATGTAAATAACACAATAAAGGTTTATATTGAATATTTTCTAAAAATAAATCGAAATTATAAAAAACAATACATTTATTCATTGAAACTACTTGGACAAATATGAAACAAGCATTCAGGCAATACTTTTGAGACTTCAACGCATCTGATAATTTTTATATAACTTCACCTCTTATGCTTAGAGTGGAGGTATTGAGATCGTATAAGTATAGATGAGCTCACATTCAGATATGATGTGTGAACTTCTGTTTTCACTGCAATTTTGAATCAGAATAAACTCAAAACAAGAATAAAATGATATACTCACTCTCTAAATGTGTTCGAGATTTAAAGTTGTATGAATAAAACGATTCATCTTTCGAAGCCTCCCATTTAATGAGAGACTTCGAAAGATGAATGTATTCATGTAGATGAAATACTATATATGACCATGTGTGATACTAAAGATATCAAAATGTTCATTTTTAAGTGCAATAGAAGGGTTATCTCTCGTAAAATCTCAATTTAAGGAAGATTTAGAAAGAACTCCTTTCCTAAGTAGATAGTGTGTGGTTTCTGTCTTTTGGTTGATCAGGAACTATGAAATTAAGTCGGACAGAAAGAAGTTCTTTCCAAAACAGACTCCAAATGAGTTGTTCGAAAAGAACTTCCTTCTGTATATGGATAATTGTAGTTACCGCACTGAAGTATGTGATTGTGATGATGGAGTTCTCGATAAATCTAAAATCGGATTAAGATTAATTGAAAACTCAAGTAATTCTTTGAAATCTTGTGTTGTCTGGCACTATAATAACCAAAGAATGAGAATATTATGTTGAATGATGAGTACGTGTGCTCGGCATTCGCCGAGCGAATTGAGTTTAACGTACTATGAAAAGTGACAAATTTGGGCTTTTTTTCCTAGGGTTATGATCTCTTCCTTTCTGCTCAATACGACAGAAATGAAAGAATGAATTTGTACTCCCTAATTGATTACTACAATCTGTATCTATCTTTAACATAGAATTAGCTGCATTGTGATTTATACTCCAGAATTATTCAATTTAAGATCAACCTCGTAAATTTTAATCATATTGCACCAATACTCCTACGTTGAGATAAGAACATGATTATACATACCAAAGCCCCATATTAAAAATCAAAATTTAGCACCTCCATTATGCAACCACATTATTCGTCGCAAATAAGTATATTTACGCATATTATGATGCATATTCACACAACTCGTATACATGAAAAGTTATTAAAATCAGACAAAATTATTGCAATAAGGAAAAAAAACAACTTTATTATATATGTTAGTAATGAATTACAAATATTTCTACAAAGAATGCTCAATACTTCATATAATCTTCGAATATTTCTTATTACAAGTTAATACATTTTGACTCGAACATGATAAACAAAAGCTGACACGCTGATTACTACATTTATGAAAATATAGTACGTTTCCATTCATCTGTTTACTTGTTTTTGTTGGAATAAAATCATTTTTTTTTCTTTCATGAAATAAGAATTTTGCTGCGAAAGCAATATCTCTAACAATAATTAATACATTACGTCAACTCTGGAATGAGTATTTATCAAATATGATATCAAAATCAAAAATTAGTTGTTTTTTATGAGTAAAAACGATGTAAATTGATTATTTGACTAATTATCAAATACTTTGATTTTCCAAATTTTTTTGGAAATTGATTTTTTCATGTGAAAATTCAAATTGTTTAATTTCATTTTTGAAATTTTGAATTTTTTTTGGAATTTTGAGTTGATCAATTCAGCAGAATTGATAATGCTATTGCTTTAGGGCATACAACAAGGTGATGAATAAAAGGTGAACATTAACAAATTATTTTAAATCACAAATATCATCCTCATCAACTTTAATTCTAAAAAGAACTGTACTGAATTATGAAAATGCATGATTTACATTATTAAAATCTTTGAATGAAAATAGTACAAGATAAGTTTTTATTCATTTTTAATTAGATTTAAACGAAAAACTACTCCATATTAAAATTTAAGTCGAGAAATCGTATTTTGTTCTTATTTGTTAGCATTTTGTAGACATTCTAATCTTGAATTAATTTGTTACATGATATTATTAACAAATTTAACTGAAAAAATATGTTAATATGGAATAAACCATGATTATATAAGCTATCAATGCTATATATACATATGTAAAAGATTCATATTAACTCAATTAACAAAAATGATAGATTTTCATAAAGGTTCAATCTAGGTTCGTCCGAAAATTTTGATTTTTATATAGAAGACGTTGTTTTATATACATAATTAAATTTTCAAACAAATTTGATCATACCATTTATTAAGCAGGATAGTATATTAATTACTATCAGTATAAAAATATAAAAATGATTATATTTAATTATTGCATAATTTAAGTAGTATATATAGCGGGTTGTGTGACTTTTTTTGTAAATGTAAGAATTCATACAATATCGAGCGATTTTGTATCATTTTTTAACATATGAAATAAATAATAAATCATTAAAAAATTAACATTAATTTTAAAATAATTTATTTTTATCTTTTATAAAAGAAGCTATATATAGATGATGTCAGATATTCCGCGATTAATTAAACATTGTTTAAATCATGAATGGAATCAATGATGTCATAATCAATGGAGTCATAAATGAGAAAAATAAATTGAAACTAATGATTATTTGAATTTATGAAATCAATTATTTTTATTTTGTATGAAATGAGTGTCAAGACTAACGACGTGAAAACATTAGGATTCACAAACGAGGAAATAAAGGATATATTAGAGGAGGCAGGTTATGAGGTTGATAAATATTATTTAAGAAATTGTCAAAAATTCGCGGAGTTTTTAAATGAGTTTGATTATGATGGAAAAATGAATAAAGATGATGTTATAAATTTCTTATATCCCGCATCTAAAAAAGAAAAACCTAAAGAACCTGATGTTTTCCCTGAATATTATGAAGAACGAATTAAAGATGATGAATACGATGAAATTGAAAGACTGGAAAAAATAAGAGATGAAATAGATGAAAAAATTAAGGAATTAAGAGAAGTTGAAAAATATAATGAAAATGAAGTAGAGGGTTTAATGAATATCCCAGCTTCAGAATCAGCAGTTCAGAAATCTCATGAAGAAAGATATAAAAATTATGTCTTAGAATCAACACAAAATTTATTAGATGGTGATATTGACGAAACACTTTCAGAAGAAGGCACAAAATTTATTCATAAACATAAGTTACAATTTATTGACGATGGAGATTATCCATGTATATTACTTTCACCTC